CTTGAACCCGGGAGGTGGAGGTTGTGGTAAGCTGAGAGTGAGATTGTCGAAACAGAGCAAGACTGTCTGAAACAATCAATCAATCAAAAAAAAGAAAAGAAAAGAAAAAAAGAGCATCTCATTGGGAATCAGGAAAGTTCCTGCAGTTGGCAGGTTGAGCAAATGTCTTGATGTGAAGTCCAGTTTAGTCCCAATACTCCCTCCCACACCCACCACATCACACAATTTGGTTTTGTTTCTTTACTTCAGGTTAAGGTAGAGTCTCTTAGGCTTGGTTTGAGTGCTATCTTCTTCTCTGTGGCCTGATATTTGGAACTAAAGTGAAGCCAGAACTCCAGGGCCAAGGGGGATATTGAAAATTATTTCAGAGTCCCCAGACCACCCTGCCATGGCAAAGGGAGGAATCAGAGGCCACAGGAAAAGCACTTCAGCTGCTCTTTACAGCATCACCCTCTCCCCATTTAATGGCCTAAGGTTAACAGGACTTTTTACTTGAGGCTTGGGGCACAGAAGGGAGCCTCCCCTAAACTAGGGCCTTGGGGAGCAGTTCCCGGGGGAGCAGTGTAACTCACCTTCACACCCCCAAGAGGGCTCCTGACCTCTGCTCCCTCCTCCCCTCCCCAAAGTGGAACAGAGAGAATGTGATTCCCCACAACTTTCCACATCACAGTTTTCAAACAATGGGGAAATCGGAGGCCTCAGGGACACACTCGCTCTGCGGTGATATTTACCACAAAATGCGAACGAGCAGGTGGCAGCCCCAGTACGCACGCAGGTAACTTAACCCTCGCCTCGACGATCTCAGAAGGGCGATCTCAGAAGGGGCCCGGCCTGCCCCACACTGGGGTGCTAAGCCTCCTGCCCGTCCGAAGTGGAGACCCAGCGCCATCCATAATTAAGTTCTTCCTGAGGGAGGGCAGCCAGGTGCGCCTTCGGCAGGACAGTGCTAATTCCAGCCCCTTTCCAGGTGCGTCTCTGCTGCCCTCATCCCCCGTCTGGAAGCCCCCTCCCACGCCCTGCGGCCCCCCCTTTCCCCGGGCCCGGGGAGCTGCTCGTTGCGTTGCTGGGAAGGTCAAGGTCCCGCGCCCACCGGGAGAGCTCGGCAAGTATAAAAGGACAGAGGAGCGCGGGACCAAGCGGCGGCGAAGGAGGGGAAGGAGAGCAGCGATCAAGAGAAGCTGCGGAGCGTCCTCGCACGCAGAGAGCAGCCTCCCGGGACAGGTAAGGGCGCAGCGCGGGAACCGCGCTCTTTCCCCGGGACTCCCTGTCCCAGTCTTCGCGATGCTCTCGGCCGGCTTCGGCTCCAGCTCTGGCTCCGAAGGCGGACCTGGGCGCCTCTGGCTCGCCGCGGTCCCGAGTTCTCCGCAAACTTTCTGCACCGACTACGGCATGAGAAGCCGCTGGCAGCTGAGCGGGAGTTCAGCCCCGGGGCGAACGCGGTCTGGGGTCCGGCGCTAAGGTGGAAACGGGGGTCGCGGGCTGCTAGGACCCCGGAGGCTCCGAGCGCCTGCTAGGAGGTCTTGGGAGAGCCCGGTCTTTTAGCATCTCTTGCTCCCAATTTCCAGGATAGGTGTCACTTCTGGAAAGTAACATTCCATACACGCTATCGCAAATGAATGTTGGAAACGGGTCGGCAGAGAAAAGGGTAAAAGTAATGGGCCGACGCAGTGGCTCACGTCTGTAATCCAACTATTTTGGAGGCCAAGGCGGGCGAATCGCCTGAGGTTGGGAGTTCAAGACCAGCCTGACCAACATGGTGAAACCCCGTCTTTAAAAAAAAAAAAAGTCATAATAAACGCCCTGTCTTCCAGAATTCTTTTTTTGGGAGGGGGCATTCGGATCCCTGAATCCTTGTTTCCCTGCCCACCTTAGCGCATCCGAGGTGGCCGCGCTATGATAATTACATGATTCCTGGGTCAATTACAATTCAGGATAGTCGAGTGCATTCTCTCCAAGACCTAGCTGGGGTTAAAAACAGGTGGCCGGGCGGGAGCTGTCCCGGGTCCTGAAACGCCTGGTTTCGGATGCCCTCAACAGGACCACCGGGTGGGCTGTTTATGGAGCAGACCCTGGATTGCGGGTGCCGGCAGCCGTTTGGAATGATCAAGGCTCAGGCAAGGGCGTTTCCAGTGAAGGAGAGACAGTCCATTTGGCATTTGGAGTTCCCAAATTCTTCATGTTTAAATGAAGCTGGGAGGGTTCTTACAGAATGGCTGGAAGGAGCCAAGGAAAATACAAGCGTGTGTGTTTTCCTTCTCAGTTTATAAGCTATGCACAGATTATGGCTACTTTAATGACTTAATATTCCTTGAACATTTTTGTTATAGGACTTAATGCATATTTGTCACGGTATTAGGACAAAACTCCGCCCCTGTGCTCCTCTAATCTCTCAGAAGGGCTAATCTCTCAGAAGGGCATGGCCAGGGTGCAGTTTTAGAGTAACAAACAGAATGATTTGTTGAGCTCGTAGAGAGTTCCCTCACACCTATGAAGTTCTAATAAGTGTAGTTCTATATAAAGTTAATCTCAAGATGAGCAAATGGCAAGTTTCTATTTTTCCAGAGCTTTCCATCTTTGGATTAGCATACTTTCCCTACTTATAAAAAGCGCTGCATTTGCTATTTCCCCAATAAGTTGTTGCTTTAAAAATGACACAAGGCGGGGTGCAGTGGCTCACACCTGTAATCCCAGCACTTTGGGAGGCCAAGGCGGTCGGATCACCTGAGGTCAGGAGTTTGAGACCATCATGGCCAACTTGGTGAAACCCTGTCTACTAAAAATACAAAAATTAGCTGGGCATGGTGGCACATGCCTGTAGTCCCAGCTACTTAGGAAGCTGAGGCAGAAGAATCACTTGAACCCAGGAAGCAGAGGTTGCAGTGAGCCGAGATTGTGCCACTGCATTCCAGCCTGGGCGACAGAGCAAGATTCTGTCTTAAAACAAACAAAAAAGACACAAAAAGGTAATATTTGTTCATTGTAGAAAACTGAAAATACACATAGGCAAAATATACAATACAAACACAAAACTGTCTTTCAGGAAAGCATCTGAAATTTTAGCAACAGCAGCTGTCTAACATTTTAGCAATAGAATAAAAGCTCTGAGAGTGTGGGAGTGGACATGTTACCACATTGCACAACACAGCCGATGGGGTAGGAGGGGAAAGCTCTCTGGGGCTTTTCAGGAAGGCCTGAAGTCATGACGTAGGCTTCTAACAAATGGAAATCATTCCAGAATGGTCATCTTTGATGAGAATTGAAATATAGTTGAGGGAACTATCAAACCTATATGATTTTATTTTTTTCTCTATTAATATGTTACTTTACATTTGCATTTGGTGACATATATAACTACCATTTTTCTGTGACTGTAACATCGGGGCATTTTTCAGACCTGAATTTTCTATGGTCATCTTGGAGCTTTAATCTAATTGCTGGTCCACCAAATTCAGGCTGTGTACTTGAACTGGATCCCTGGTAGACTACAATGGGAACAGCCTATCCCTTGGAGCCAGGAGAGGACACCAAGATTGACCAACGCTTGTTCAGTTGCCCCTTTGGCAAAAGCACCCCTAGGCCAGTTACTGGCTGCTATCGCCATCTAACGGCTGCTCTGAGAATGCTCAGCCTTGCCCAGCAACCCTGAAGAGAGCCCTGTGCTGGCCTGGCGCCTTGGGGAGTAGGGTGAGGGTGGGGCAGAGAGAAGGAAGTGGCTTCCTGAAGTAGACAATGAGCGCCTGGGAGGACTTTCACTTCCAAAGCCTCCTCTATAAAAAAAGATTTGGCCCACGCCTCTCCAAATGAGAGATTTCTTTTAGGCAAACTTACATTAAAATACCAGCGTTCATTAGGAGTGACAAGACACTTAGTCATCCACACTTCCATGTGAATTACTTTTCTCATCTAATTACATTTTTTTCTAGCAGCTGGCTGAGAAGATCTTCTGAAAACCAAAATGATTGTAGGGTTGGTGGTGAGCTGATCTCACATCTCCAGGTGGCTTCAGGGGGCCCACCTGGTTAAGAGAAATTTGGCAGTGCTGGAGAAAGGGGTGGGCACAAGGGACTAGGGGCACCATGGGTGCCCCCTCCTTACTGTCCCCTGGCATCTTGATCTCAGCTTCTGCCCCAGGGACTTTCTGGATTCTCCAAAAGTATCTGAAGTGGCTCTACCACCAGGAAGTAATTCCCTCTGATCTGTTTCTTTCTTCTCCACACCTGCCTCCTCTTCATATCCAGCCATTTCAGACCACATTTGAGAGACCTAGAGAACAAGACATCTGACATGTGATGTGTTCAGAAGATGAGCCAGTTTTAAAAGAGTTGAGATCTGCTTTAAAAACAAAGCTCTCCAAAGTTACTGGAGTCTGGATAACAGCAATCACCAGAGTAATTTGTGTGCAGGACATCAAATCAGGTTGCTTGAAGTGTTCCCTAAATTGGCCAGTGGTTTTATTTGCTTTTCTGTAAACCTAATACCCATAGGAAATACAGTTTCAGATAAATGATAGGATTCTGGTGGAATAAAAGGGGAAAAGCCCATCTTGAGCAGGAATTTCAGGGTCCTCTGTTTTTCCCAAGTTACTTTCACTCCTTAGATCTAGCATGTTAGAACTACAGCTTTATGCAGTGAAATAGGAAAGTTCTGTGCTTGGAGCTTAGTCTTACCTTGTCATGAACATTAAGGTAATTGTCTCTCTTCGGGCTTCAATTTTCCCATCTCTCATAGGAAGGGCTGAACCAAGCAATCCCCAAAGTAGCTTCCAGCCTTAACCTTTTCAGGGGTCTGGTTCTAATGCAAGATAGCAGGGAAATGCCCACAGCTTGCCCAGGTCCATTCCCTTCTCCTGACAACTTATACCACCACCCTACGCACCTCCTTTCTCAGCATTCCTCTTGTCCTTAAAATGCCTTTGACTCCACAAGAGAGTGTGTTGTTAATGTTGGCTCAAGGTCCTTCCTGGTGAGCGGCCAACATTGTTTTGCTCCTTGCAGGGGTCCCACCAATCTTGTTTGCTTCTGAAGAGGCTCAGCCTGCCTGGAAGATGCTGAGATCGTGCTGCAGCCGCTCAGGGGCCCTGTTGCTGGCCTTGCTGCTTCAGGCTTCCATGGAAGTGCGTGGCTGGTGCCTGGAGAGCAGCCAGTGTCAGGACCTCACCACCGAAAGCCACCTGCTGGTATGTGGGCCATGGTTGTCATCTTGGGTTAGACATCAGATGGGACTGGAGCTGGGAAAGCTCAAAAGAAAGAGGTGTGGGGAAGGGGTTAATTCATTCCCACTGACAGGCATGATTCAATCCAGGGCAGGAGTGGAACTTTGCAGTGAAGTAAGAAATGGGGGAAGGAATGAGGGAAGGAAACAGAGAGATGGGTCGAGTCCACAGTTTCTTTCTTTTTTCTTTTTTTTTTTTGAGACAGAGTCTGCTCTGTTGCCCAGGCTGGAGTGCAGTGGCACGATCTCTGCTCACTGCAACTTCCGCCTCCTGGGTTCAAGTGATTCTCCTGCCTCAGCCCCCTGAGTAGCTGGGATCACAGGTGCACGCCATCACGCCCAGCTAATTTTTATATTATTAGTAGAGACAGGGTTTTGCCATGTTGGTCAGTCTGGTCTTGAACTCCTGACCTCATGATCTGCCCACCTTGGCCTCCCAAAGTGCTGTGATTACAGGTGTGAGCCACTGCGCCCAGCCATATCCACAATTTCTGCTTGGTTATCTTTACTTTCTGCCCCATCTTCTAGGGAGGTCCTGAACCCCTTAAATTAGAGATGGTGCCACAAGAGCAATAATTGCCCTCTCAATCTTTTCTGTACTTTAAATCTTTATCTTCCCAAACTATTCCTTTTTAAGAAGCTCATATCACATGACATTTTCATTCCATATTTCTTCCCCTTTTATCTACTGCCAGTTGCAAAACCAGCCAGGTAGTCCTACAAATCATCTCTGGAAAAAGAAAACACCAGGGGACTTTTTTTTTTTTCTTCTGTAATTGGTGCCAAATGTCTCATGCTTCTTCTGGAGGACTGGCCTTCTACGATGTTCCTCTGCAGTCTTTCCAGAGCATGTGAAGGCCCTTTGTATCAGGTGGGAGCTCCCTCCAGGTCACCACAGGGTATAAGTATCTGCATGCATGTGATATGTGTGTGTGTGTGTGTGTGTGTGTGTGTGTGTGTGTGTGTGTGTTAGGGGGCATAAATGAGTAATGATGCCAAATCCAGAGATTAAAAGCACACTGAGACCAGGTGAGAAGGCTCATGCCTGTAATCCCAGCACTTTTGGAGGCTAAGGTAGGAGGATTGCTTGAGCCCAGGAATTCAAGACTAGCCTGGGCAACATAGTGAGACCCCTATCTCTACAAAAAATGAAAAAGTTAGCCAGGTGTGGTGGCATGTGTCTGTAGTCCCAGCTACTTGAGAGGTTCGCTTGAGGCCAGGCGTCATAGTCAGCTATAATCATGCTGTTGCACTCCCATCTGGGTAACAGAATGAGACCTTGTCTCAAAACAAAACAAACAAAAAAACCCCACACTGCTAATATCAGTGACTGGGATTTTATTCTGTTGCCAACACCTGGCAGGTGCTGAGGGTGGAATGTATATCTACATTATGTGTATTTTGTCAATGGAGAAGCTGAATTAAGATGAAGAGAGAATGAGATTCTCAAAGACACAGACAAGTTTTCATGTGTAATATAAAAGAGAAACTAAGAGCGCAGGGGATTCTGCGAGTTCCAGTTCAGACAGACCCGAGTCTCTTGACTTGAGACAACTAGGGAGGGCACCCTGGACACAGACAGGATCCATGCGTTCTAGTCCCAGTTCTGAGCTATGGGACCTTGACCAGGTCCTTTAACCTCTCTGAGCCTCCTGCTTCATTATCTCTCCAGGGGAGGGGAGTGTAAATTAGTTTTAATTTTCCATTGTTAACATTCCACAGTGTTGTAATTCTAAACACCTGGAATAGTCTATGTCCAGCTTAACATACTGGGTAGGAGCCTTTTATTTTCAACTTTGCTATCCCCAAGTAAGAGAGTAGCCAGTGGGCTTTTCATCTTTTTATTATTGAAAACTCAAGGCTGCAGCCTATGCAGCCATTTTCCTAAGCAAATATGTACCACAATTGAGTCCACTAGGGACAAAGAGCAGAGAGACACAGGTTCCACAGATGGAGCAATGGAAATAATCCTAGCTTTCTACCCCTCTCTCCAGTCGGAATGAGGTTACAGGGAAATGATCTCCCAGAGAGATCAGCTCATAAGTCGTGAAAGAACCAAGGTGCAGCTTTGGAGGCTTAGGGCAGAGATGGAGCTGGGGTGGGGCATAAAGTAGGTTTTCCATCACTGAGGTTAAGGTTGAGGCATTATTAAAAATATGCTTAAAAATAAAGGCCCTAGTAGTCAGACTTCTATCGGCTGGAGAGATTATCCCCTAAACTTCAGCCCCACTCCCGTCTTGGTCTTGAATTAAACCATATGTATTTATTCAGTATTCTCTTTTATTTTTATTTTTGAGACAGCATCTTGCTCTGTGTTGCCCAGGCTGGAGTGTGGAGTGCAGTGGTGTGATCTCCGCTCGCTGCAACCTCTACCTCTCGGGTTCAAGCGATTTTCCTGCCTCTTGCCTCAGCCTCTGCCGAGGAGCCCGCCACCACACCCAGCTAGTTTGTTGTTGTTGTTGTTTAGTAGAGACGGGGTTTCACTCTGTTGGCCAGGCTGGTCTTGAACTCCTGACCTCAGGTGATCCGACTGCCTCGGGCTCCCAAAGTGTTGGGATTACAGGCCTGAGCCACCGCACTCAATATTCATTAAGGACCAACAACGACCATCCGTCTGCCTTTTTTGAAGCCACTTTTTTTTTTTTTTTTTTTTTTTTGAGACGAGAGTCTCTCACTGTCGCCCAGGTTGTAATGCAGTGGCGCCATCTTCGGCTCACTGCAATCTCCGCCTTCTGGGTTCAAGCAATTCTCCTGCCTCAGCCTCCCGAGTACCTGGGACTACAGGCGTAGGCCACCACGCCCAGCTAATTTTTTTTGTATTTTTAGTAGAGACCGGGTTTCACCATGTTGGCCAGGATCACCTGGATCTCCTGACCTCGTGATCTGCCCGCCTTGCCTCGCAAAGTGCTGGGATTACAGGCGTGATCCACCGCGCCCGGCCTCTTGTAGCTAGTTCTTTATGTCAGACATATAACAGTAGGACTTCGGTCCTGTTCACAAAAGCTAGGGGTGGCTAAATGGCTAGACAAACCACGGAATGGGATGGGGAGTTCGTTGGCAGTTGCCAGGCAGAAGCACGCAGGGAAGGAGACAGAAGAGGTGGTGGCAAGATCTTAGATGCCCACAAGTGCCAAAAGGACAGGTGGGCAGACCTGCTCCGTAGGGAGGCCTCGACGCCTGACACGCCGGACACTGCGCCCTGAGTCCCCCGCACGTGGTGACGGCTGCCAGGGCCTAGGCGCAGTGGACGGCGCGGCGGCCGGGCAGGGGTGCAGGGCACGGGCTGCCCTCATGCCATGGCATCTTCCCCCAGGAGTGCATACGGGCCTGCAAGCCCGACCTCTCGGCGGAGACCCCGGTGTTTCCGGGCAATGGCGACGAGCAGCCACTGACCGAGAACCCCCGGAAGTACGTCATGAGCCACTTCCGCTGGGACCGCTTCGGTCGCCGCAATAGCAGCAGCAGCGGCGGCGGCGGCGGCGGCGCAGGGCAGAAGCGCGAGGACTTCGCGGCGGGCGAAGACCGCGGCCTGCTGCCTGAGGGCGGCCCCGAGCCCCGCGGCGATGGCGCCGAGCCGGGCCCGCGCGAAGGCAAGCGCTCCTACTCCATGGAGCACTTCCGCTGGGGCAAGCCGGTGGGCAAGAAGCGGCGCCCGGTGAAGGTGTACCCCAACAGCGCCGAGAACGAGTCGGCCGAGGCCTTCCCCCTGGAGTTCAAGAGGGAGTTGGCCGACCAGCGGCCCCTGGCGGGGGACGGCCCCGACAGCCCCACCGACGGGGGCGCGGGCGCCGAGGCCGACCCGGAGCACGGCCTGCTGGTGGCGGCCGAGAAGAAAGACGACGGCCCCTACAGGATGGAGCACTTCCGCTGGGGCAGCCCGCCCAAGGACAAGCGCTACGGCGGCTTCATGACCTCCGAGAAGAGCCAGACGCCCCTGGTGACGCTGTTCAAAAACGCCATTATCAAGAACGCCTACAAGAAGGGCCAGTGAAGGCGCAGCGAGACCCCGGGGCTTCCTTCCCCGGGGAGGTCGACCCCAAAGCCCCTTGCCCTCCCCAGCCCTGCCGCCGCCTCCCAGCCGGGGGGCAGATGGTCGAGGCAGATATTCAGCCTCTTAAAGCTGTCTATAGTTAGGAAATAAAACCTTTCAAATTTCACATCCGCCTCTGACTTTGAATGTACCCTGTGAATAAAATAAAAAGCACATAGCCATCAAATAACAGCAGCGTGGATTGGAGGAGCACAGTGGTGTCCATGTGGTAGGAGATTTCACAGGACGTAGTGAGCGTGGAAGGAAAATGTGCTTCCTCCCCCACCCCAAATGGATCTTCAAGGAATCGAATAGTTCGGGTGACGGCTCAGGGTGGCTCCAACACCTCCAGGATGGCTTTTCCCGCACACTCCACTGAGTGGGAAAGACGGCTCAGCTAGCACACATGCTAAAAGGCAGGATTCCTGCAAGAGTGGCACCCCCCACCCCCGGCCCCGCACTTGGGCTTGCCGGCTCCCCATCAACCAACAGAAGCCAGCGGGACAGGTTGAGGTCTACCGACACCTGGGAGGGCTCTGGACTGTCAGATGGGAAGCTTTGGTAATGCTCCCGGGAAACAGTCCTCACTGCTCCTAGCAATCCATGTGACCTTAGGCAAGTCTCTGAACTTTTCTCCAAAATGTAGATCTCTCATCTACCCCTCCCTTCCCAGTGTGAGGGTTATTGTGAAGATTAGAGAAAATGGCTATGATCATCTTTTTATCACAGAAGCTAAGTGTGAGAGTTGGGAGTTGGTATCAGTTCCCATTTGCACTCTCAGGCTACTCACAGATATGTTCAAACGTACCATCTCTCTCACACACACACTCATGGAGACGCACATCTGTTTAATACAACAAACTCTACACAGTTGCTTCTTCCAGCCCTAGGGCTTAAGCCCTGACTGAGGCCCTCTGACCCCTCCTGCTATGCCCAAGCGCCTCCCTCCCCACGTTTCAGCTCCAGCCCTCCTCCTCACCCTCAGTACTCCCCCCAGGCCTCTCCGATAACAGCCTCCTAACCAACTGGTCTCCCAGTCTCCAGCCAGTCTCCTCAGCCCATTATATATGAATTCTTCATATTAGTGTATATAAAATCTTGCTTTTCCCACAGTCCCAGGCTCAAGAATCAAAACAGTACCCCAACCCCAATTTCTGTTAATTCCAAACTATTAAGCATGGTGGACAGGGCCCTTTAGTTGGGGCACTCTCTCCTTACTAAACCCTGCTTCCCAAATTTCCCCAGATGACGGCTCTGCCTCACACTTGCTGGTCTCCTCACAGGTCTCACATCTTCCTACACCCTCTGCCTGGAATCCTCCACCTTCCCCTGCCATTTTGTTGTTGTTGTTAATACAGAGTCTCGCTCTGTGACCCAGGCTGGAGTGCAATGGTGCAATCTCAGCTCACTGCAACCTCTGCCTCCTGGATTCAAGCAATTCTCCTGCCTCGACCTCCCAAGTAGCTGAGATTACAGGAGTGCACCATCACATCTGGCTAATTTTTGTATTTTTAGTAGAGATGGGATCTCACCATGTTGGCCAGGCTGGTCTCGAACTCCTGACCTCAGGTGATCTGCCCATCTCGGCCTCCCAGAGTGCTGGGATTATAGGCGTAAGTCACTACAACTGGCTCCCCTGCCATTTTGAATGCAGTTCTCTTTTTAGTACAAGCTCAGGCTCACGTCCACCTTTGTAGGGCAGGTGATGCCCTCTGCCAGGTGACCCTGTTCGTTTTCAGTGTTCCTGTTGTCAGCCCACTCCGCACTGGAGGCCATACTGTTTGGCTTGAATGGCAAGTTCCTGGCTGCATCCGTGCCTTGCCTTCTCTTGGGAAAATTCCACACTCTTCAAGGGCAGAATCCAGGTGCTGTGTTTCTTTTATGTCTCCCCATAGTGCTGTCACAATGCTGGGACCACAGGTTTGCACATTTACACACATTTACACATTTTGCAATTCACATGAGATTCACAAGAGATGCACACATGTATGTCAAATGCATTAAGTACACCAGGGGGCGGTGTAGAGCAAAGCCAGCTGGGAAGCATCTGTTTGGCACTGACACATGAACCCCGTGCTATTTTGATGCTCTGGGAGTTCACAATGAAAAAAATTGGGAATTTGCCCTGGTAAAGTTTTGATGTGAGGTTAGTAAGAAAGCCAGAATCTTCTTCTTTTTTGAGAAGGAGGTTTCGCTCTGTCACCCAGGCTGGAGTGCCCTGGCACGATCTCGACTCATTGCAATCTCCACCTCCTGGGTTCAAGTGATTCTCCAACCTCAACCTCCTGAGTAGCTGGGACTATAGGCGTGCACCACCACACCCAGCTAATTTTTGTATTTTTAGAGATGAGGTTTCTCCATGTTGGCCAGGCTGGTCTCAAACTCTTGACCTCAGGTGATCCACGCGCCTCGGCCTCTCAAAGTGTTGGGATTACAGGTGTGAGCCGCTGCACCCGGATAATTTTTGTATTTTTAGTAGAGATGGGTTTTCACCATGTTGGCCAGGCTGGTCTCAAACTCCTGGCCTCAAGTGATTCACCCACCTTGGCCTCCCAAAGTGCTGAGATTAGAGGTTGAGCCAAGGTGCCTGGCCAGAAAGCCAGATTCTTAAGACAAGGTGTTCCCCAGTATAACTCACATAGAATGTGCTAGAATGAGGAATGGCCTACGCCGTCCTAACTGAGGATGCTCCCTGCTGGGCATTCTGGCCTAAGGGTTCCAGCTTGGTAGCCTTCTTTCCCCCACTCCTCCTCCCTCTGAGGCAGGTGAAGTGATGGTTGGTGTAGGTGGCTAAATGCCAGTGGTACACTGTTGGTATTTTCAGATCCCGTTTGCTTCCCACAAAAAACCATTTACTTCAAAGAAATCAAACAGACAGCCATGTGGTGGCAACATTAACATTTATTTGAAAAGGGCATCATGACGGCTCACTGGGAGATCGCGACTAATGGGCCTAGAGAGTGATTTTGCTAAGAATCCTTCTTCCTACACTTCCCCAACACTCCCTTTCCCACTTTCCTAAAATAGAACTAATCAATCCAATGGGTTTAAAATACAGAAAACCGCCACGGGCACTAATTCTGCGCTCACATATGAATATACCATCTATTATGTACACATACTGTCAACTACAAACTACACTACACACACATGCACACACACACACTCAGCCAGGTCGTGAGGCTCTAAGTGGACACAGACACATTATGAGGTATGGGCTGCAGCATTTGTGGGTTCACAGCTCTGCCTTCACATGCCAGAAATCAGCAGTCATGGGGGTAGAGCTTGGAAGGGGAAGGTGATGGGCTTGGTCGGCCCCATGGTCCCCTGAAGAGAGGAGACCTGGCCAGCCAGGCTGGGGCTAAAGGGAGCACAGAAAACTGCCTTTGGCCCCAGCAGGGCCACAAAGCCCTTCCCACTGCCCTCCTGTCACCGCCATACGCCATCTCCCAGATAGCCAGGCTCTAGGACAGGCCCACCATAACCATCCTTCTGCAGTCTTCAGACCTAGGCCAGATGTGGGGTAAGGGGCCACTCAAACCAGAAGATATCTAGGGCTAATGGGATGAGGAGGCAACACACTGCCCCAAATCTTTCCCCAAGTGTGAGGGAGATGCCTGGTTTTAGCATGACCTGCCTGCCGAGGTCTGGGGTCACAGGAAGTGGGCCTGCCCTGCCCTGATGAAGCCCTCTCCCTGTCTACCTTTTAACCTAGTATCTACCTAACAGCCCAGTCTAGCCCTTTCCCGCTGGACCCCAACCGGCTAGCTGCCATTTTCTGGTCATGAAGAGGGACTGGGAAAAATAGTCTCACTTCTCCAGGGCACTCTGTTGCCGGGTCAGGAGGCCTAGGGATAATGGAATGGAAACTGGAAGGCATCGTGTCCCAGGGCCTCCAGAGGAGCCCAGAGGCCTGGCCTGAGCTGTTCAGAGAAACTCCCGGCTACTCTGATTCTTGGTCCAGTTGAATTGTGTTCTGTGGGACCTAGAACAGCCAGGGAAAAGGGCGGCGCACCTACAACACTTGTGCTTCTCAAAGTACATTAGCGGGTCCGGGCCTCCTCTTTTCCTGCTCATCCATTTGTATCTGTGTATGGGAAAGAGGGCTGGACACAGCAGGGTCTCCGGGAACTTTCGTAGTTCTGCTGACCTGCTTAGGCTCCTTCTATAGTGAGGAGGCTGTTTAGGAGTCAAGAAACCACTGATTTCAAAGAGAGAGGAAGATGGAAACAGGCACAAGGTGCTGGGGTCTCCACTGCAAGGAAAACAGAGGGAGCCTCCGGGGCCACACTGGTGCTTTCTGCTGATCTGCTTCTTATGCGTTCACCTGACGCCACCAAATTAACAGAACTTCCAAATCTCAAATATACTCCTGCCTACTCCGTGCGGCCAGCGGAGTCCTGACCAATGCCAGCCCTTCCCCACAGAGCCGCAGTCCTTGGGGCTTTGCGAACAGCTGGTCTCAATGGGCTTACTGGTTCCTCTTTGCTCAAAATCACAGCAGAGAAGGGTGGCAAGAAGGCGTATGATGCAGTGCCGCCAGCCGCCAGGGGCTTGGGAAGCAGGACGCGCTGATGCTAGCCCAAGGGCTGGGGTAGCCCTCCCATCTAGACCCCATCCAACTGCTTTGCCTCTCTCCCAGGGCCTGTGCTGGGATGAGGAGACTACCTACTCTAACACTCAACTTTAACCTTTCTGATTCTGGCATATTTGGCCAGAATCCAGGTTCTGCTCCATGTCAGCAGACAACCTAACACTCTGAGTCTAAGTTTAAATGAAACCGAGAAGAGGGCACTCAAAAAATGACGAGTTTTTCAAAAGAAGTACATTTTTGCTAAGCAGTAATGATGAAAGGAGATGCTGCCTGGGGCAGATGGATAGGGAACAGCAGAGTCTATGCAGAATGGGAGCCTGCACCTTTTCCTTCTCGCTATTCACAGGACGGGGATGAGGGGCAGAAACATCTGAGTGGACCTGCAGGTCTCTGGTTCTAATGCCGGGTCTGGAAAGACCCTCCAGGGAGGCGACTGCCAAGTCCCAGAACCAGGGCTCACAGGCAGTGCTCAGGATGAAGCTGCCACGAGGAAGCCCTAATGTCAATGTCAAGTAGGCCTGTGAAACAGAGGGTCTCTCATCCAAGCTGGGCACAGGATAAAACCTGGGAGGAGCCAGTGAGGAAAGGCATGTTTGTGGCTCAAGATTTCAATTTTCCTTAAAGTTTCTTTCAAAGGTTAGCAGTTGCTGTCAATTTTGAGTTAAACTTGTTTCTTTTTCATATAGAAACACTAAAGAGAAGTCTAAGTTCATGCTTGTAAAATTGAGCTGAGCATAAGCCAGGGGCCATAAAGCACAGCCAAAAAGCCCTGGGGGCACAGGAGCCTTCATGCCTGGGCCGGCACTCACTCAGGCCGTTCAGAAGCCGAGTGCCAAGCCGGGTGCGATAGCTCATGCCTGTCATTCGGCACTTTGGGAGGCTGAGGTGGGTGGATTGCTTGAGGTCAGGAACTTGAGACCAGCCCGGCCAACATGGTGAAACCCCATTTCTACTAAGAATTTTCTGGGCATGGTGGCACACACTTGTAATCCCAGCTACTCAGGAGGTTGAGGCAGGAGAATCACTTGAACCCAGGAGGCAGAGGTTACCGTGAGCCGAGGTGGTGCCATTGCACTCCAGCCTGGGTGACACAGTGAGACTCCATCTCAAAAACAAACAAAACAAACAAAAAAGAAAACACAAACAAGAAGCTGCATGCCCACAGCAGAGATCATGACCATGGGGAAGAGCTTCATCTGAAGTGCCTACCTGTGGGAATGAGAGTCAAATAACCGCTTCCCCAAGAAACTTATTGCACATATTAATGGGAAATGCTTGTGTTAAGGCTCTCCCGGATTCTGGAAAATACATCCACCTAACAATCAGGCTGTCCCTGTACATCCGTGTGTGCCACGCTTTGGTGGCACATTCCAAGAAGCCTGCCCCCCCCCAACCTTAGCAGAAACAGCCTGCTTCTGACTCCATGCCATACTGCCTGAAATTGTTTCCTAAAAAGGATTTCCAGCTACTCAGGAGGCTGAGGAGGGAGAATCACTTAAACTCAGGAGTTCAAGGTCAGCCTGGGCAACATAGTGAGACCCCCATCTCTAAAAATAAATAAATAAATAAATAATGGATTCCTTTGGATTGAGAAATCTAGTCACACTGCCTCCTCTGGAAAGCAGACTCCAGGGAGAGAACATGTGCTATTCACATCTTACTGTAGGTTATGTCGGCTCGGAGGAGTTGTGGGAAATGTGACTGAAGGGGAAGGAAAGGGCCAGTTTGGACCCCATGGCACTGCCCGGGGAGGAGGCCGAGGTGAGGTTCTGTCAGGGGCACCCCGGAGGCACAAAGGCACCTGGAAGACAGCCCGGCAGGAGAACTGGCAAAGAGGGCAGCAAACTATCTCCTGGGCGTCTCTGCCTGGCTCCACATTAGCTCCTCTCTGCACACCGTCGTTACACAGAGACACAGACAGCACACCAGGAAAACAAGCATCCAGAAGTCAAAGGAGTCTCCACGGCCCCTCCCAAGCCACAAGTGTTGCCAGATGGTCCCGATGTCTCAGACTTTATCCAGAGAGTGAAGAAATCATTCCCATATTTGGTTAGATCCTTCTTTCTTCAAATGGAACATCCAAAAAGTTGGCTTCTGATATCCCTGAGCCCCCAAACGCCACTCATCCCACCCTCCCGACTCTCCTACGACCCAGGCCAGGCTGGGAGTCTCTTCCATAGGAGGCGATGTGGGCAAATCTTGGGCGCCCTGCAGTTCCCCTCTGAAATTAGCTTGTTCTGCCTTCCCTCAACCCAGAGGCTCCAGGAACACCTTGGGACCCTCAGAAGAAAGACATCAAAGAGACCCAACTCTGAAAAACGTCCGGCAGACAGGACTGTGGGAGGCCATCGCAGGCTCCCTCCGAATAAAGGAGGTGAGAAGCTGCTGCAGGCCACACTCTGATGCCATGGCCTCACCTCCTGCCAGCCCTGCTTCCTGTCCTTTGCCGTCCTGCCCCGTGGCGTCTCCACCCCAGCTCCTGTAATAAGGGCTCAGCATTCATTAACAGAAGAAACATAAACAGACAACTGGGGGATGAGCAAGAGAGTGGGAGACACAGCAGGGCCATGGGCGGGGAGGTGGGGAGGCTCCGGAGGAGACAGGCTTTCGGCTCTCAGCTTCCTTCCCTAGCGGGGTAGAGCCCATCACTTCCTCTCACCAACCAAGTCTCCATCCAGCTTCCTCATCTGGGGAGGAAACGGGCCCCCATGGAAGCCCTTCACTCAAAACTCCAAGTGGGAGCTTCTCCGCCCCCATACCCTGGCTTCTCTCTGGAGACACCCCACGATTCTCTGCCCCTGGCTGCCACAAAAGAGAAGATGAAGGGCCAAGGTGAGACACGTGTCGGTGAGATCTCCCTTGGGGAAGACGAGGAGGTAGCAGGGCCAAGAAGGACCAGAGTCTCCACCTTGGCTTAGCCTGGGGGGCACTGCCATCCAAGGTGACGTTTTTTCGGGGATCCCAGCCAGATCTCCATGGGGCCTGAGTGGGCGTGAGGTGAGCCCCTCCCTCAGACCCCATCCCCTTGAGGAGCTCCAGCTCTTGGAATTCAGTATACGCACAGATCGGGAAACTTCATTTCATAGACCGGAATGGAGTGGTTCTGCGGCTGACCGTAGGCTGCGGTGATGGTTCCTGATGGGCTTGGTGGAGGCCTAGAGGCAGGAACACGTGGGGAGAAAGTCGTGAAAGGGAAATTTTAGGGTTCCACCCTTGTGCAACTAAACAGTAGGTGACCTAGGTTTCTTTTTGCACAGGGACCAGAGACCCCCTCATTCCCCAGGTTCCCAGCTTTCCAAGTTGTACTAGAATCCACAGCTTGGAGTCAAGCTTCTCTGCAGGCTCCACAGTGATGCCGCTGCTTTAGAACGTGCCAGCCTGGGACACGAGGACTCTTGGCTCTTTCCAGGTCTCACTGAGCCAGGCTCCTTCCCTCTCTATTCTGTTTCCTCGTCTAGGGAGGGTTGAGTTGGTGGCTGACTCCACCCCGGGAAACAGAGATTGCAGTGGGGTGGGAGGAGCGGGGAGGGGCGAAGGGAAGACAGGGGGTGAGAGGACTTAGGATGAGGAACCCCAATACTGGGCCACAGAGGTCAGGGTCCCCTGCCCAGGGTTGCCACTTACCGGATGGTGATTTCGAAGATCTGATTGAGTTTGCTCTGGAGCAGCGATGCCTACACGCAAACAGGAGGAAGTGAGGTGAGGGGGACCCAGAACCTCTGCCACTGGCTCAGGATGTCCAGAGTATGTGCTGGAGGTGCAGGGAAGCCGCAGCCTTAGGAAGGCAGGCGGAGGGGAACACACTCCAGCACTCCTCCACTGCACCCTGACTACAGATTCGGATCCGGGAAGCCACCTACTGAAGGCTGGCTGGGGACAGGACAGAGGCTCAGAATCGCCAGGGGGGCCATCAGCCGGCAGCTCTTGAAGGTCCTTCTCCTCAAGATGGGGCAGCGGGGCTGCTAGGCATGGAGTCGGGAGACTGCCCAAGTGCCAGCTCTTTTCTTTCTTAAAAAAGTTAATTTAGTTTAATTTTTTTTATTGAGACAGAGTCTTGCTCTGTCACCCAGGCTGGAGTGCAGTGGCACAACCTCCGCTCACTGCAACCTCCACCTACTGGGTTCAAGCAATTCTCCCAACTCAGCTTCCTGAGTAGCTGGGATTACAGGCACCCACCACCACGCCTGGCTAAGTTTTGGATTTTTAGTAGAGATGGGGTTTCGCTATGTTGGCCAAGCTGGTCTCGAAATCCTGACCTCAGGTGACCCGTCCACCTCAGCCTCCCAAAGTGCTAGAATTACAGGTGTGAGCCACTGTGCCCAGGCTGTGCCAGCTCTTTTCTAACTCACGAATACTCTGCATAACTTGTGGCTTAGAGATGATCTCGGATTCCTTCTGGCTCTAAAGAGGCCAATGAATGCAGGGAGTGAGGCTGCAGGTGCTCAGTAACTGGCCTCAGTTCCTAGCTCATGAAATAGGCATCCCTCTCAAAGTGGGATGAGACGTTAGAACAATGCAGGCCCAGGAAAATCATGCCTCACTTACCCGGGCCCCACAGTGTGCGGCAATCTCCTCAAAGGGTGCCTTCTGGAACTTCTCCACCACCTGTCGCCGCCGCTCACGCTCCTGCTCCTCCACAGCTACGCTGTCCACTGCGACGCAGAGAGCTAGGTCAGTGCCAGGCCCTGCTCACTGAGGGGAAGGGGAGGGGCTCCTCCGAGGAGCACCATCCATGAGCACTGCTTGGACCCTCCCCTCTTCTGAAGAGTAGGGGACAGTTGCATGGAGGTGTAGTGCCCTCACTTGGCCCTGGAAGGCGGGACCTCTTTCTGATTCTGCCTGAGGGCTCAGCCTTCTTCCTTGTGTAAGAGTTTGAGAAATACGTAGGAGGAACTTTCAGCCGGGCTCTTACAGCCCCAAGTAGTTGCTCTCCCACCAGGACTTTTTTTTTTTTTTTTTTTTTTTTTTTGAGACGGAGTTTCGCTCTTGTTACCCAGGCTGGAGTGCAATGGCGCGATCTCGGCTCACCGCAACCTCCGCCTCCTGGGTTCAGGCAATTCTCCTGTCTCAGCCTCCTGAGTAGCTGGGATTACAGGCACACACCACCATGCCCAGCTAACTTTTTGTATTTTTAGTAGAGACGGGGTTTCACCATGTTGACTAGGACGGTCTCGATCTCTCGACCTCGTGATCCACCCGCCTCGGCCTCCCAAAGTGCTGGGATTACAGGCTTGAGCCACCGCGCCCGGCTTTCACCAGGACTTTTAAATTGAAGGTCCTGAACAGTTGGTCCTTGAGTGCTCTCTGGGTAGCTTTTTTTTTTTTTTTTTTTTTTTTTTGAGACAGAATCTGACTCTGTCGTCCAGGCTGGAGTGCAGTGGCACAATCTCGGCTCACTGCAACCTCCGCCTCCTGGGTTCAAGCAATTCTCCTGCCTCAGCCTCCCGAGAAGCTGGGACTACAGGCGCACACCACCACACCTGGCTAATTTTTGAATTTTTTTTTCTTTTTTTTTGAAAGAAAGAGAAAGGGAGAGAGAAAACAAAAGTCTTGCCCTATTGCTCAGGCTGGAATGCAATCTAAAAATAGGTATTAAGAACCTCTTTTATGCCGATAATTGTGCTTAACAGCGGAGACAGGAAGGAATAAGGGAAGAAAATAACAAACAGCCAACCAATATTTCATTTAAGTCTGTGAAATGCTATGCAAATGCTGAAGAGTGATTTAATTCCAATTATGTGGTTACTTTCAAGATAGGTGTAATATGATACTGAGAAAAATGTATGTTCTGTGGACCTGGGGTGAAGAATTCTATAAATATTCACTGAGTTTACTTGTTCTAGGTCTGAGTTCAAATCATAGAAGTCCCTGTTAATTTTCTATCTTGTTGATATTAACAATGTGGTGTCAAAGTCTCCCGCTATTATTATGCGGAAGTCCAAGTCTCTTTATAAGTCATTAAGAACTTGTCTTATGTATTTGGGTGTTCCTATATTGGGTGCATATATATTTATGATCATTGACTCCTGTCGTTGCCTTGATCCTTTTACTATTATGTAATGTCCTTCTTTGTTTCTTTTAGTCTTTGTTACTATTAAAGTCTATTTTGTCAGAGACGAAAGTTACAACTCCTGTTTTTTTTTTTTTTTTTGCTCTCCATTTGATTGGTAAGTCTTCCACCAACCCTTTGTTTTGAGTCTTTGTGTGTCCTTGCTTATGAGATGGATCTGGATATAGCAAACCGATGGGTTTTGACTTTTTATTCAATTTGCCTGTCTGTGTCTTTGGGGCATTTAATCCATTTAAATTTAGGATTAATATTGATATTTGTGAGTTTAATATTATTGTTTAATGCTAGCTGGCTATTTTGCCCATTAGTTGATATAGATTTTTCATTATGGAGATACTCTTTTTGGTAAGTTTTTGGGATGACTGATACTGGTTGTTCCTTTCTGCATATAGTGCTTCTTTCAGAAGCTCTTGTAAAACAGGCCTGGTGGTGATGAAATCTCTGAGTGCTTGCTTATTCACGAAAAATTCGATTTTTCCTTCATTTATGAAGCTTAATTTGGCTGGATATGAGATTCTGGGTTGAAAATTTTTTCTTTGAGGATACTGAATACTGACTCCCACTCTCTTCTAGTTTGTAGGGTTTCAGCTGAGAGATCTGCTGTGAGTCTGATAGGCTACCCTTTATGGGTAACCGGACCTTTCTTTCTAGCTGCCCTTAGAATTTTCTCCTTTATTTCAACCCTGGTGAATCTAACGATTATGTGTCTTGGGGTTGCTCCACTTGAGGAATATCTTTGTGGCTGTTCTCTGTATTACCTGAAGTTGAATGTTTTCCTGCCTTACTAGGTTAGGAAAGTTTTCCTGAATAGTATCCTGAAGAATATTTTCCAGCTTGAATTCATTCTCTTCATGACATTCAGGTACACCTATCAAACATAAATTAGGTCTTTTCACATAGTCCCATATTTCTTGGAGACTTTGCTCATTCCTTTTTACTCTTTCTTCTCTAATCTTGTCTTCTTGTTTCATTTCATTAAGTTGGTCTTCGACCTCTGATATCTTTTCTTCTGTTTGATCAATTCGAGTGTTAAAACCTGTGCATAGTTCGAGGAGTTCTCGTATTGTATCTCTTCAGTTCCATTAATTCAATTATATTCCTCTCTAGATTGTGTATTCTTTTTAGGATTTTGTCAAACCTTTTTTCAAGGTTCTTAGTTTCTTTACATTGGGCTAGAACCTGTTCTTTTAACTCACAGAAGTTTCTTATTATCCACCTTCTGGAGCCTAAATCTGTTAATGGAACACACTCGTTCTCCATCAGGCCTTGTTCCCTTGTTGATGAGGAACTGTGATCCCCTGTAGAGGGAGAGGCATTCTGATTTGGGGCATTCTCAGCCTTTTTACGCTGGTTTCTTCCCATCATTGTAAATTTATCCACCTGTCGTCTTTGTAATTACGACTTTCAAATTAGGTCTCTGAGTGGACGTCCAACCTGTTGATTCCCAGTGCCGGAATCTGAGCAACTCACTGCACTGGCAGAAACAGCGGCATTAAGATTTGTGGTGCTTTTCTGCCTAGGAAAAGTCTGGCTTTTCAGTCTGGCTTCCTTCTTCAGTCCCTTTTTCAAGTCAGCTGAATAGGCGACTCTGCCTTTCCGGAGCTCCAAATGTTGACCAAAAGGGGACCCAGTCCCGTTTACTCTGCACCAAGAACCGCCGCACCAGCAAAACTGCCGCGCCCACCACAAGAGTTGCACTGGCGACCCGTGGGGCTCCTCTACTGGGAATCTCCTGGTCCCTGAGCAACAAAAATTTGTCTGAAAGTGTGGCGTCCTCTCGTTCTCTGTGCTTTCACTGGGAGCTACAATCCTGAGCTGCTAGTGATCAGCCATCTTGGATCTCTTAATTTTTGTATTTTTAGTAGAGACGGGGCTTCACCATGTTGGCCAGGATGGTCTCGATCTCTTGACCTCGTGATCTGCCCCCATCGGCCTCCCAAAGCGCTGGGATTACAGGCTTGAACCACTATGCCCAGCCTCCTGTGGGCATTTTGAAAAGGGACATAGAGGCTGGGTGTGGTGGCTCACACCTGTAATCCCAGCACTTTGGGAGGCTGAGGCAGGCAGATCACCTGAGGTCCAGAGTTCAAGACCAGCCTGGCCATCATGGTGAAACCCCCTCTGTACTGAAAATACAAAAATCAGCCAGGTGTGGTGGCATGCACCTGTAGTCTCAGCTACTTGGGAGGCTGAGGCAGGAGGATTGCTTGAACCAGGGAGGTGGAGGTTGCAGTGAGCTGAGATCACACCATTGCACTCTAGCCTGGGTGACAGAGTGAGACTCTGTCTCAAAAAAACAAACCAAAAAAAGAAAAGGGACATTGACAAAGGCAAAGCCACACAGATCATGAAAGCCAACGTGGACCAACTGCGCCAGGGCAGCCCAGGGTCATTTAGTTTAAGGATTCCACACGCACTGCTTGGTATCCAAGATGAGTAAGCACCGAGAAGGAAAAGGGGTATGTGCCACATATGTCCATCATACTGTTTTTTTGTTTTGTTTTTCAAATAGAGATGGAGTCTCACTATGCTGCCTAGACTGGTGTCAAACTTCTGGACTCAAGTGATCCTCCTGCCTTGGCTTCTCAAAGTGCTGGGATTACTGGCGTGAGCCACCATGCTGGGCCCACACTCAGTTTAAGAAGGTAAGAAATGGCCAGGTGCAGTGGGATATGCCTGTAATCCCAGCACTTTGGGAGGCTGAAGCAGGCAGATTGCCTGAGGTCAGAAGTTAGAGACCAGTCTGGCCTATATGGTGAAATCCTGTCTCTACTAAAAATACAAAAATTAGCCAGGTGTGGTGGTAGGTGCCTGTAATCCCAGTTACTTGGGAGGCTGAGGCAGGAGAACGCTTGAACCCAGGAGGCAGAGGTTGCAGTGAGCCAAGATTGTGCTACTGCACTCCAGCCTGGGTGACAGAGCAAGACTCCATCTCAAAGAAAAAAGAAAAAATTTATAGGAAAGAAATCTGTAAATTCAGAGAGACTACCATTAATGACGACAAAAATTTAAAAGTTAGGCATTTATAGGCATAATTTGTCAGCAGTTAGAAAAATATGTTTGTCCAATGATCCAGGTAGAGGGGTAACAATGCATTTCAAAATCTACTTCCCTTATTAAACAGACATTCATATGATTCATTCTTAATATCTTCCATTGACCAGCTTGTTCTTTTGTATCACACTTCACCAAAAAAAGAAACTATTTACTCCAAATTGCTTTCTACCTACAGCTGTTAACTGATTACTTTTAAAGGCCTCTGTCCTTAGTGACAAAAGGTTTGCCCACTGTGGGCCACACTACTGACCCCCATCAGGAGAGCAGAGACTTTCAATGGCAGCTTTGGTGGCTGTGATGAGTTTGTCGAAAGCCACCAGCCTCTCCCCTCACTCGGGTGCTGTATCCCACCGCGGAGGGTGGTGGATCCAGCTGCTTCTGCAGGAGCAGGCCCAAGGACCCCATCCCATTCTGCCCTCTAAGCAGAGTCCCTCGGCCCCAACTTACCAATGGCTTTCTTCAGCGTCTCATAGGTGATCTCCTCGGCAGGCACTCGCTGAAGAAGAAGGGACAGAGATGCTCAGAAAGGCAGTGAGTTGGGGAAGGAGGCAGCCCTGACGCCCCCTACTCTCTGGCAGCCCCTTGCTTCTTAGAACAAAGCCCCAGTGGGCAGGAAGTCCCTCAGGACACCCGCAGTCCCATCAGGGTCTCGGAAGCTCCCTGAGCAGCACAGAAGACAGAGAAATACAGTGGGGAAGCTCATTCCTCACCAGATTCAGACTCAGAACAGAGTCCTCAGTCTCATGTAAAAGAACACACTGTTTCCTGCCCCCTCATCAGGACTGTCCCACCAAGCACTATGGAAGGAAAATACCGCAATTTTATTTTATTTTTTTGGTTTTCTTTGAGATGGAGTCTCGCTCTGTTGCTCAGGCTGGACTGCAGTGGCGTGATCTTGGCTCACTGTAGCTCTGCCTCCTGGGTTCAAGTGATTCTCTCCTGCCTCAGCCTCCCAAGTAGCTGGGATTACAGGTACATGCCACTATGCCTGGCTAATTTTTATATTTTTAGTAGAGACAGGGTTTCACTATGTTGGCCAGCCTGGTCTCGAACTCCTGACCTCGTGATCTGCCTACTTCGGCCTCCCAAAGTGCTGGGATTACAGGCGTGAGCCACTGTGCCAGGCCAGTACTGCAATCTTAAAACATCTTCAGAAAACACAACAGAAAACATTGGAAACAAGAGGAGAGAGGTGGCAAACAGAATCTCAAATGTAAATTTCCAGAACAGAATATCAGTTCTGAAGTCTTAAAAGCATTAAATTACCAACCAAGGCGACTTGAGCATTTAGTAAAGATAAGAAATGGAAGGTCAGAAGTGACAGGCCTGGTGCAGTGGCTCATGCTTATAATCCCAGCACTTTGAGAGGCCAAGGTAGGCAGATCACGAGGTCAGGAGTTCAAGACCAGGCTGGCCAATATAGTGAAACCCTTTCTTTACTAAAAATATGAAAATTGGCCCACCATGGTGGCACACAACTGTAATCCCAGCTACTTGGGGAGTCTGAGGCAAGAGAATTGCTTGAAACCAGAAGCTAGAGATTGCAGTGAGTAGAGATCATTCCACGCCACGGCACTCCAGCCTGGGCAACAGAGAGAGACGCCATCTAAAAAAAAAAAAAAAAAAAAAAAAAAAGTGACAGGGCTCCCTTGACAACTTAGGTTCCAAGGAGTTGCCCGCTCAGACCTCTGCAGAGCCTATAAAAGGAGGTGAAAAATAATAAAACTCAAAGAAGGGAACTCCATAGATGCTGAAAATAGTAAAGGAATTTGGACTGAACTCCAGAAATTACCTACTAGACAATGAGCTATTAGACCTATGAGTCACTCATGCGCTATCTTTTTTTTTTTTTTTTTTTTTTTTTGAGATGGTGTTTCACTCTGGTTACCCAGGCTGGAGTGCAATGGCACAATCTTGGCTCACTGCAACCTCCACCTCCCAGTTGGTTTCAAGTGATTCTCCTGCCTCAGCCTCCCCAGTAGCTGGGATTACAGGTGGCCATCACCACACCTGGCTAATTTTTTGTATTTTTAGCAGAGACGGGGTTTCAACATGTTGATCAGGTGGTCTCAAACTCCTGACCTCAAGTAATCCTGCCCGCTTCGGTCTCCCAAAGTGCTGAAGATTACAGGCGTGAGCCACTGCACCAGTCTCACGCTCTATCATTTAAACGTAGCCTTAAGCAAAAGCAGCAGACACAGAAGAGGATGATTTCACTGATGTAAAGTTCAAAAAGTAACGCAACTCAGGCTAGGGGCTCCCTTAGGGGAGGAGGCACAGAGGCAGGGCCCACTCTTTCATCCAGGCGTGACTGCACGAGCATATACACTTGAAAATTCACTGAGTTGTGCAATTTTTGATTTCTTTGGCATTTTTGTTTGAGTAGGAGAAGACAGAAGTATAGATATGAGATAAAGTCATTCAACAAACATTAAGTGAGCACCAACTACACGCAGGACTCCAGGTGAGTCCATAGAAACGGCGCAATTTGTTAGCATAGGAATTACACACAAGAGAGAGCTGTGCTGGGCCTTAACTCCCTCTGAGGACTTATCCTCCGTACGCCCATCCATTCCTCCACTGTCAGCACTGAGCAACGTCGGATATTCACCTGCTGGGTGCTGGGGAACTGTGTGGTGGCAACAGTCAAAGAAAAGGCCGCTCTCTGGGCAAGAGAGCAAGGATGCTCACTGGGCAAGAGCAGGGAGAGAGGAGTTTATGGAGGAAACAGAACGGGGGCTGGGTGCTGGGGAAGTCAGTTCACAGGTGCTCAGGTGTTCCTGTGTGGAGGGGAAGGTGGTTCAGACGTGGCATTCTGCACTAGCAAAGGCCTGGAGATGGCTGAGCACAGCATGGGAGAGACTGACAGCAGCTTCACCAGAGCAGGACAGCAGATACAGGCCAGAGCAGGTGGCAGAAAATGAAATGGTAGAGCCCAGACTATGAATGGCTGGGAATGCCGGGCACCAGGATGGAGATGTGACCAAACCAGCATTTATTCACCACTGCAGCGAGCCTGGCAGTAAGGCCATAGGAACCACTTGTGGAATTCTGGGCTGGTACACGATGGCTGACGGGGAAGAGAACTGTGGCATGGCAGAAGGGCACAGGATGCAGGCCCCTGCACCCCTGCTTTGCCACCAAGCTAATTCTGGGCTAAGCTGACTCCTTTTTTTTCTGAGATGAAGTCTCACTCTGTCACCCAGCCTGGAGTGCAGTGGCGCAATCTTGGCTCACCGCAACCTCTGCCTCCTGGGTTCAAGCGATTCTCCTGCCTCAGTCTCTTGACTAGCTGGGATTACAGGTGCCCGCCACCACACCAGGCTGTTGTGTATTTTTAGGAGAGACAGGGTTTCATCATGTTGGTCAGGCTGGTCTCAAACTCTGACCTCATCATCTGCCTGCCTTGGCCTCCCAAGGTGCTGGGATTACAGGTGTGAGCCACCATGCCTGGCCTAAGCTGACTCTTGAAGGGAGGAAGGAACAGATACTGGTGGCCCAGGAGGCCACTAGTGAGGAGGTGCTTTGTAGCAGCATAAGCATTTCGCCTCCTCCTGCGTCACTTCACTCATCGATTCCCAAGGATCTCTTACCTCGTGGGAAGGGAGAATCACCAATATGGGCAGAGAGTCACCAACTCACCTCGACCCCTAACACATTGGAGGTTCCCAGTCTTGGGGCTGGAAGGGCCATGGAGGATGCCTCGTTCAACCTCATTTTAATTGTCCAATTAACCCAAGTCAGAGCTTCCTTCTGTGGGAAGGTTCTGGATATGCTTTGAGGGCCCTGGGCTGGAGATCTGCCCAATGAATGAAGTGGTCAAGGGCACAGTTAGGGGCAAGCTTGTTCCTCACCCCTAGAGACTTTTCCTACCTCTGATTGCATCTGAGGAAAGGCTTGATGTCAAAGCTGTCCATGTCTATGTCAGCTCTAATGGGCACAGAAGCCCGGGAATGCCAGCCTGTCCATACCTGAGGACCACATAAGTCTTTCTGTCCCGTCTCACACAGATGTATGTCCTCCGTACTTCTTGTGAACTGGGACAGTCAGCATTTAATTTAAAAAAAAATAAATAAATAAGGCTTGGCATGGCGGCTCACACCTGTAATCCCAGCACTTTGGGAGGCCGACGTGGGCAGATCCCTTGAGCCCAGGGGCTTGAGACCAGCCCGGGCAACATGACAAAACCCCATGTCTACAAAAAAAATGCAAAAGTTAGCTGGGCATGGTGGTGCGTGCCTATAGTCCCAGCTATTCGGGAGGCTGAGGTGAGAGGATCACTTGAGGAGGCAGAGGTTGTAGTGAGCCAAGGCTGAACCACTACACTCCAGCCCAGGTGACAAAGCAAGACTCTGTCTCAAAAATAAAAATAAAAAAAGGGGTACTGCATCTGTGGCTTCGGTTCCCTCATGCCTCCTTCCTCCTCCTCTCTGCCCTCCCCTCTGTTTCTTCGCCGTTTGGGGGAATTGGGTTTGTATCTCCACTGTGATTCCTTATTCTTCCCTACTCATGGTGTATCTGCTTCATTCGCTAAGTTAGAAGAAATGAGATAATGGCAGGGGAGATAGCACATGTTATTTTGAACAGATATTAGATATTTACAGTCCTCAAGAGAGGAGAGAGGAAGAGAGGTCTTTAAGGCACTGCAGCAGCTTTCTCTTAAAAAAAAAAAAAAAAAAAAAAGAATCTTGCCGGGCGCGGTGGCTCAAGCCTGTAATCCCAGCACTTTGGGAGGCTGAGGCGGGTGGATCATGAGGTCGAGAGATCGAGACCATCCTGGTCAACGTGGTGAAACCCCGTCTCTACTAAAAATACAAAAAATTAGCTGGGCATGGTGGCGCATGCCTGTAGTCCCAGCTACTCAGGAGGCTGAGGCAGGAGAATTGCTTGAACCCAGGAGATGGAGGTTGCGGTGAGCCGAGATCGCGCCATTGCACTCGAGCCTGGGTAACAAGAGCGACACTCTGTCTCAAAAAAAAAAAAAAAAAAAAAAAAAAGAATCTTGGCTGTGGGCGGTTAGGGGATGTGCAGGTGGAGCACGGGTGGTTTTTAGGGCAAGAAGTGACTCTGTGTGGCACTCTAGTGGGGGAGGCATGTCATTATGCATTTGTCCAAACCCACAGAAGGTACAATGCTGAGAGCGAACCCCAATGTAAACGATAGACATCAGATGACAGACAACACTGTGTTCGGGCAGGTTCAATTGTAAGAAACGTACCACTCTGATGGGGGATGTGGATAGTGGGGGAGGCTGTGCATGTGTGGGGGGTATAGGGCAGTCTCTGTACCTTCCACTCAATTTTCCTGTAACCTAAAATTGCTTTTAAAAATAGTCTAAATTTAAAAAAAAAGAATCTTTATTGATACATGTGGAAGCAACGCTATGAAAGCTGTTCTCATCCTTATCACTCCAGTTTCCAACCCAGAGCACATCTGTCCCCATGTGAGTGGGGAATGACGACCAGTATGCCTTTCTTTTGAATTTTTTGAGACAAGGTCTCACTCTGTCACTTAGGTTGAAGTGCAGTGGTGCCATCAAGGCTTACTGCAGCCTCGACCTCCCAGGCTCAGGTGATTCTCTCACCTCAGCATCCTGAGTAGCTGGGACCACAGGTGCATGTCACTTACAAATTATTTTTTGTAGAGATGGGGTCTCCTTATGTTGCCCCAGATCGTCTCAAACTCCTGGGCTCAAGCAGTCCTCCTGCCTCAGCCTCCAAAATGTTGGGATCAGAGGTGTGAGCCACCATACCCACCCCGGCCTTTCAAGAGTGATTTTTATGATATCCTCATGGGAGCAGGGAGGACCCTAACAATTTTTCCGAATGGAAGTATCTGTGACACATACATGGGGAGAGTCAGGATGAGTGGGGAATGACTCGAGAAGCTTGCTCTCCATGCAGCCTAAGCACACTGTGTGGGCAGAGGACCCTGGAGTCCAGCATCCAATCTGCAGGAGTGGGACTGCCTCAGGAGGGTGGCAAGGTCACTCACCTCCTCCTTCTCTGGGCTGTTCCTTGATTCTACCTCCACTTGCAGGGAGATGGTCTCTCCAATGCTTCTCCTCTTGGATAAGCGATCCTCATCTAGGGAAGAAGCAGCCCAGAGGCTGGAGTTCCCAGTCCTCGGAGGTCCAGGACTGAGCCGCTAGTCCCACTTCCCAACCCCTCGCCTCTGCTTGGCCCACAGTCCTCGGGCTCAGTGCACACGCAGACTACCCCTGCAGTTTACAGAAGCTTCTGATTGCTTTGGGTCTTCTCCGTCCATCTTAGGGTGGTCAGTTTTGCTCTTTGGGGCTAAAATGTTGAAATCATCAATGAGAACACAAAGAAGGTTCTTATGACCAGAATACATCTCGCCTTACATGTAAACATCATCTGCTAACAGCACCAGTAGCTGTCATCCGTAAGTATTTACTAAGTGCATTTGCATTAATAAAGGTACATATCTCATCTATCTCTCATGCCAACCTTCTAAGGCAGCTATTTTTTTTGTTTTGTTTTGTTTTTTGTTTTTGTTTTTTGAGACGGAGTCTCGCTCTCTCTCCCAGGCTGGAGTGCCATGGTGCAATCTTGGCTTACTGCCACCTCCGCCTCCCGGGTTCAAACAATTTTCTTGCTTCAGCCTCTGGAGTAGCTGGGACTACAGGCGCCTACCACCACACCTAGCTAATTTTTTGTATTTTTAGTAGAAATGGGGTTTTACCGTGTTGCCCAGGTTGATCTTGAAACTTTGAGCTCAGGCAATCTATCCGCCTCAGGCCTCCCAAAGTGCTGGGATTACAGGCGTGAGCCACCATACCCGGCCAGCAGCTCTTGTTAATATCCCTGTTTTGCAGTCAAGGAAACTGAAATTCATGATGCAAAGGACTTTTCTAAGATCTTTCGGGCATTAAATTGCACAGAGGTCTTGAACCGGGTCTCTGGTTCTGTAGCCATGTATGCTCTTTCCAGCACAATGGAGCCTCTCCCATCCTCAGGCCAGGCCATCTCATGGGCCAGGTGCTTCCAAGGACCCTGCCCTGAGGAGAAGAGGTGGGGCAATCAAGAGGGCCTCACCAGAAACTCCCACTGTGTCTTTCAGCTCTGGTGACATCCAGGGTGCCTTACAGGCAATCAAAGGGCCACAAGTCCCTTACACTCAGGCCCTCAACTGGCCAAGGAAAGACAGAGGCAGGCTCAGGCGTCCCTGCACAGAGCTCGTACCTGTCAGCTGAGGGATGTAGGGCAGGCAGAGCCGATCTGAATTGTAGCCACTGCCTCCCAAGACTTCACTGATCTTGCTCTGGCGGAAGAGGAGCTCAATCACTACCCCATCAAGATTCTGAGACAGCCTGGAAGACAAAGGAGGGAGGAAGCACATTAGAATCATGGTATCTAGAATGACTTCTGAATGACTTTTTTTTCTGAGACAGAGTTTTGCCTTTGTTGCCCAGGCTAGATTGCAGTAGCGCAAACTCAGCTTGCTGCAACCTTCACCTCCTGGATTTAAGTGATTCTCCTGCCTCAGGCTCTTGAGTAGCTGGGATTACAGGCATCTACCACCATGCCTGGCTAATTTTTTGTGCAGTGGCTGTTCACAGGCACCATCATAGCACACTACGGCCTTGACCTGCTGGGCTCAAGTGATCTTCCTGTTCACCCTGCTAACCGGCATGCTCCACCACACCTGGCTTTTATTTATTTGTTATTTTTAGACTGAGTCTCTCCCTGTCGTCCAGGCTGGAGTGCAGTGGCACGATCTCAGCTCATTGCAACTTCCACCTCCCAGGTTCAAGGGATTCTCCTGCCTCAGCCTCCCAAGTAGCTGGGATTACAGGCACATGCCACCACACCTGGCTAATTTTTGTATTTTGAGTAGAGACAGAGTTTTGCTGTGTTGGCCAGGCTGGTCTCCAACTCCTGATCTCAAGTGATCCACCTGCCTGAACCTCCCAAAGTGCTGGGATTGCAGGGATGAGCCCCTGTGCCCAGCCTAATTTTTCTTTTTCTTTTTTTTCTTGAGACAGTGTCTTCCTCTGTCACCCAGGCTGGCATGCAGTGGCACGACCTCAGCATACTGCAACTTTTGCCTTCTGGGTTCAAGCAGATTCTCCTGCCTCAGCCTCCTGAGTAGAGTAGCTGGGACTTCAGGTGCGCACCACCACACCTGGCTAATTTTTGTATTTTTAGTAGAGATGGGGTTTTCCCACGTTGGCCAGGATGGTCTTGAACTCCTGACCTCAAGTGATCCACCCACCTCTGCCTCCCAAAGTGCTGGGATTACAGACACGAGTCACTGCACTCAGGCCCTGGCAAATTTTAAAAAATTTTTTTGCAGACATGGGTTCTTGCTTTGCTGCACATGGCTGTCTGGAACCCACGGGCTGAAGAGAGCCTCCTGCTCAGTCTTCTGAGTCACTGGACCTGCAGGCGTGAGCCATCACACCCAGCTTAGCCACATATTTTTACGTATACAGATAGATATACCCTTCCTCACCCACTGTTCTGTGATCTATTTTATTGACCTATTATGTAGTGGGCATTTTACATTAAATATTCTTCTAAAACATGGGCACAATTGTCTGTTGCATGTATGGGCCATGATTTATAAAGGCATCCACTACTGTGAGACGTTTTGGTTTTGCAAAATATTGTTCCCTTGAGTTCCTCTGATGTTGAAGTGACACTGGCCCACAGCACCCACGATGGACCGAAAACATCACTTGGATTGACAGTGTCATCTTGTCAGGAATGACTCCTTCAGGACGCATTTGCCATGGGCTTGGCCAAAGTCCCCGGAGGCTGTGCCTCATCTGCGAACACGGCTCAGCACTGCACGCTTGAGGCATGGACTGCAGAAATGAGATGGGGTTCAGCTTTACCCAGGACTTCCGGACCCCAGGCAGAGCCCACTTTCTGCCCTTGAGTCTGCAGAAGGCCGAGCCTTCTGGCATTGATCCCTTCTGGCCTCACACTACCCACCTACTTACTCAGCTACCCTGGGGATCCATGACCAGGCCCCCTGTCCTCTCCTCACCTGGGCCTCTCCACAAACACATCCTCAGGGAGCATATATGGAGCTTCTTTCTTCCTGGTCTCTATCACCTGGCGGTTGGGAGGAATCAGATGATAAGAGCTGGTTCAGCAGGGAGAGGGAGCTCACAGGCAATGAAAGAACCCCCATGCCAGGCTCGGTGCTTCCTCCCTCCCACAGCCTCCTCAGCACAGTGTCCGAAGCTAAGCTTCTCCAGTGGAAACTCCCATCAAGTACCCTCAGAGCAGCTGGAGAGGCCTAGGATGCCTGCTCAGCCCATGGCCATCAATGACACATGTGCACTAGGTCTCCTCCAAATGTAGGGAACTTAACTCTTCAGAGACTGCAGCTTCTGGCTCCGGTGTCTCATTCCTATGCTTTTTTTTGTTTTTGAGACAGTCTTGCTCTGTTTTCTAGGCTGGAGTGCAGTGGCACAGTCTCGGCTCACTGCAACCTCCACCTCCCAGGTTCAAGCAATTCTCCTGCCTCAGCTTCCTGAGTAGCTGGAATTACATGCACCACCATGCCTGGCTAATTTTTATGTTTTTAGTAGAGGTTGCCTAGGCTGGTCTCGAACTCCTGACCTCAAGTGATTCACCTGCCTTGGCCTCCCAAAGTGCTGGGATTATCGGCATGAGCCATTGCACCCAGCTTGCTAGTATATTTTAAAGTTAATCCTGTATGTTGGTATCATTCAATCTCTAAACACTTCAGTGTGTTTTAAAAGATCTTTATGCAACAACTGAGAACACATCTGACTATAGAATGGGTGTCAGATAATACCAAGGAATTGGTGATGACTTAATGAGCTGTGTTAAGAGCATGGCAATCATGTAGGGAGGCACTCATGCTGTTTCAGACAGGCAGACTGGTACCCTACATGAAAGGACAGGGTTGCTGGGATTTGTTTTAAAATATTTGTTTTAAAGTATTTACAATTTGTTCAGCAAAGGAAAAGAGAAGGAGATAGATGAGGGCTATGGGGAGAAATTTTCATATCTGTTCATTTCATCTGCGTGGCCGTGAATGGACGTTCGCTCACCATTCTACTCAGGCTACTTCTGCAGTATTTCATAGCTTTAGTCTGCATGATCTGAGGTATGTGTGCCGGTGTGTTCCCGTGAGTTGGGGAAGACAGAGGGGCAGGAAGTGGAGGAGGCAGACAGTAGGTTAGAAACAGGTATAGGAGACCCGCCCAACCCCTGTGCCTAACCCCACCCTACTCTGCCAAGTCATACAGGAAGGAAAGATGCCATAAGTAACTAAGTTCTCACCATGAGCGGTTCTTACTTCAACCGCATCTTCAAACTGTGTAAGAGTAGGTACGGGACTAACACAGTTAAGCAAAAGCTGTTCCCAGGAACCCCAAGTTGAGGGCCCTCTGAGTTCAAGCTATTCCAGTCACGAGGATACCAACCTCATGGATGTGCTGGCAGAAGGCAGGCACTGTTGTGAGCTGGCTGATGAGGTTCAGGTAGGCTGCACCCAGAGCGTACAGGGCACAGCGGTTGTAGACAGGCAAGTTCTCCTCATTGACCTGGGCTACGTCCTGCGGCAACACAGACACGGCCTCCGGAGTTTTTCACCGGCAAACTACACTGGGTGCCAAGCCTCCGCCCAACCCCTTCCCAATCTTCTTTAGAAATGCTTTCTTTCCTAGACGAAGTCTTTCTCAGCATTTGACCTATAACTTCCTGGGGAAAAAAGTTGCCTTCATTAAAGGAAGGGAAGTTTCCCTAGAATAATCCATGAACTGGTAGGTTCTTAAGTACTCATAGACTATAGAGGCAATGACCTCAACTTCCCGCTCTGCAATTCTAGCTGTGGTGACCTCTCCTGCCCACACCCCCATCATTAATCCCACTGCTAGTGCTGTCTCCTTCACTAGTTGATTCTTAGAGGACTGGATTAGCTGGTTAAACTGGGTTCATATGTTAAACTAACATAGCTGTGAGAGTTACCAGGGGATTGGGACACAAAGGAACCCCAAATTCTAACTGTTTTTATTTTCTTTATTTTTAAGATGGGGTTTCAACATGATGGCCTGGCTGGTCTCGAACTCCTGACCTCAGATGATCCACCAACCTCGGCCTCCCAAAGTGCTACGATTACAGGCGTGAGCCACCGTGACTGGCCACTCTTAAGAGTAAATAGAGTTAAAAAGAACTGCAGCATCTAGGTTGACCCTGCAGGATTTTAGCACCATCAGACAGGTGGTCTAAGACTCTGTCACTGAATTCCCTGGGTTGCCTGATTCAGAACTATGATGCCCGCCTGGCTTCAGCACGCTGGAGACCCAGATTTTGAGGTCCAAAGGACCTACCCTGACTCCCAGTACCCATGGGTGTACACTTGAACCAGGAAGACCAGGAAAGTCTCAATCCCTGCCTGGTGCCACATTGGCTGCCTATGAATCACAAAGGAGGCTTGGTAGACAGGCCCCCAGGCTTTGAGACCGTGATTTATCTTTCCAGGAAATGTATACTTTAAACAATTGCTCAAAGCAATTCTGAAACACAGCTCAGATTTTGGGAACCAGAGAATCTTTTTTTTTTTTTTTTTTTTTTTTTGTTTTTCAGAGGGAGTCTTGCTCTATTGCCCAGGCTGGCATGCAGTGGCACGATCTTGGCTCACTGCAACCTTGGCCTCTAGGGTTCAAGTGATTCTCCTGCCTCAGTCTCCCAGGTAGCTGGAACTACAGGCACACACCACTATGTCCGGCTAATTTTTGTATTTTTAGTAGAGAAGGGGTTTCACCATGTTGGCCAGGTTGGTCTCAAACTCTTGACCTCAAACCATCCACCCACCTTGGCCTCCTAAAGTGCTGGGATTACAGGTGTGAGCCACTGTGCCTGGTCAAGGGAATCAGAGAATCTTTAGACAAATGAGTTTGCCTGGGATCACTCAGGGCTTACGAGCATCCTCTTAGGAATCTTTGGAGTTTCACTCAGACTCTGCAAGAGACTCAACATACTAGTAGCTAAGTGATACTTCTGAATGACCTGGTTGCCTGGGTCTTCTTTAGCTTGAGGATAGGCCAAGGGCATAAATGAAGCATTCTTTGGGGTCCCCAACCAGGACCATGATTTGGGGTCTTTAGGGAGGACTGGCCAACCACTGAGTGCAATATTCCTGGGTTCCAAAACAACTTGTTAAGCAGTTGCCACTCAATATTTTTATCAGGGGTTGGCCAAAACAGGTCCCTCCTCTGATCCCAAGCCCCACGCCCTGTGCACACCAGGCCCTACCTGAACAGCCAGCACCAGACGGATGAGGTCCACCACCACCTCCTCATTGGCCAGCTCGATGCTGATGAGGGCCAGCAAGCCATAGAGCGCCTCGTAGTGTTTCTGCACGTTCGTTTCCTCCTTGCAGCTCAGGTAGATGTGTCTGTAGAGCTGCTGGGAGTGCTGGGGATGGTGGTGGACAGGGGAAGGCCGGGATGGGTAGGGTAGGGACAGGAGGGGCAAGGAGAACAAGGAGGAAGATCAATCTGAAGATGAGGGGATGGCTCTGTGTGCCCCCTCCTCCCCTGGGGAGGGGATGCCTTTACAGCAGACTACAGCAGAAGTGGACACACACAGGAAGGCTTGTGTGGGGAAGGTTGGGCTCTAGGGAAACCAGCAATAGAAGCTGCTGCCCAAATCCAGGGGTAGAAGCAGAACACAGTGACTGGCCCTGGACTGGCTCATCCCTCTGGGCTTGACTCCTAGAGAGGCCAGCTGGTCAATCTGACCATGAATAGCCACAGAGGGAGGAGGCATAGCCAGAGAGGGAAGAGGCAGGCTCCAGGGGCAGTCAGTGGTCACCAGTGACTTTTGCTCTGTCATCCAGGTTGGAGTACACTGGCACAATCTCGGTTCACTGCAATCTCCACCTCCTGGGTTCAATCGATTCTCCTGCCTCAGCCTCCCAAGTAGCTGGGATTACAGGTGCCCGCCACCATGGCTGGCTAATTTTTGTGCTTTTAGTGAAAAAGGGGTTTTACCATGTTGGCCAGGCTGGTCTTGAGCTCCTGATCTCAAGTGATTCACCTGCCTCAGCTTCCCAAAGTTCTCGATTACAGGCGTGAGCCACTGCACTTAGCCTTCACTGTGTCTTGAGGTCATGCTTGCTTACCTTCTTCATGAAGACGGTGTCCTGTCGAGAGCACTTGTCCACTTTCAGCTTTAGGACAGAGATGTCACTGAGGGTACTGGGACAGGATGCAAAAGGCCTCCTTAGCTCTGATACAAGGCCAGCCTGCACTCACAGGGGGTCACTGGGCTTTATCCCCAACACTGTTAGGTGGGTACAAAGCCTCCAGTGCTCCCTGGCCCTGGGTCTTACCCCAATTACATTTTCCTCTCAAGTTCTCACGAATTTGTCCCTTTATCTCTCTCTCTCTTTTTTCTTTTTGAGGAAGGGTCTTGTTTTGTCACCTAGGCTGGACTGCAGTGGCTCAGGGATCACAGCTGTCTGCAGCCTCAACCTCCAGGGCTCAAGCAATCCTCCCAACTCTGCCTCCCAAGGAGCTGGGATCACAGTGCGAGCCACCACACTCAGCTAATTTTTAAATCTTCTTGTGGAGATGAGGTCTCACTATGTTGCCTGGGCTGGGCTGGAACTCTTGGGCTCAAGTGATTCTCCTACCTTGGCCTCTCAAAGTGCTGAGATTATAGGCATGAACCACCACACCTGACCCCTTTCTCTTAAATCTTCACTCTGGCCGGGCGCGGTGGCTCAAGCCTGTAATCCCAGCACTTTGGGAGGCCGAGGCGGGTGGATCACGAGGTCGAGAGTTCGAGACCATCCTGGTCGACATGGTGAAACCCCGTCTCTACTAAAAATACAAAAAATTAGCTGGGCATGGTGGCTACGTGCCTGTAATCCCAGCTACTCAGGAGGCTGAGGCAGGAGAATTGCCTGAACCCAGGAGGCGGAGGTTGCGGTGAGCCGAGATCGCGCCATTGCACTCCAGCCTGGGTAACAAGAGCGAAACTCCGTCTCAAAACAAAACAAAACAAAACAAAAACAAAAAAAAAAACTTCACGCTGATTATTCTCTTCCTCTTCTTATTCTCACCAGGTCCTTTCAGTCTCTCCTGATAACCCTGTACCCCTTCCTCCTCACACTTACAAACTCCCTTTAATGCCTCCTCTCTATCTTCCAGATCTTCAGTCCACCCTCTTCCTCTCCCAGACACCAGTGCCCTTTGGTATCTCCTCCCCTTGCAGGACCCCAGGGTCAGTGTTGGTGATCAACTCCCTGGAGAGTCTCCCTTAGTAGCTGAACTGTCCTCCCGTCTGGGTGTGAGGTTACTGGCCCAAAGGACAGGACCTATTGGAGAGTCCTCTCCCCATCTTGCATCACCTAAAGGAGACACCCCAAATTCACCTGATGGTAGAGAACTTGTGGCGATTGCCATGACGATCAATGAAACTGATGAGAATCTCTAGAACAAAGAGTCGAATTTCTGCATCCTCCATGAGGGCAGTGGAGAGAAGGCGGTCCAGGAAGTTGCTGGGCAGGGCTGACATCATGTTGTTGCACTGGAAACCTGTGGATACCTGCAAGGGAGGCATGACAGGTGTGCCTAGGAACGCCGTCCCTCTCAGGTGCAGGAGGAGATGGGGGAGCAGCCAGTGGAAGTCAGATCTGATGTATACATCCTCTCTAGACATCGCCCAATCCAGCCTCCCCTACCCTGTAGCCCAGGCAATTTTTTGAACACTCCAACATTCACCTAGATGACATTGAGCTCAGTAGACATGTGAATGGATGGGGACAGCGTGCAGGGACATTAGGGTGTGGAAAGCAAGCAAAGGATGAGCCCTGGAGGGAAGCGAAAGCCGGGCAATCTCTGAACCTAACATTCTAGCCAGTTAGGGCACAACTGATGAACAGCCACCAGGAACACGATGCCTCATTAAGAGTGTGACCGTCACAAAGAACGAGACAGTGGAAGAACTCACAACTGGGCTGATGGATCAGAACTCACACACATGGCAACCACCAAATAGTGCACACAGGTAGCATCTGGTAACATGTCTGTTAGCATGGCAATAACGGGGCTTTGTGACTAAAGCCAGTTTGGCATAAATAGACATGCCATATATGCTGTCTTCAAAGCATTCAAATGCAGCCAAGCACTTTTCCTGTTAAATCCATATTGCAAAGCAATGCCTTTGATGATTCAGAAGGTCCCTGAGGATGTACTCCAAACTGTCACCTTAAGAAGATGCTGGGTACAGGCTGGGCACGGTGGCTCACACATGTAATCACAGCACTTTGGGAGGCTGAGGCGGGTAGATCACCTGAGGTCGGGAGTTTGAGACCAGCCTGACCAACATGGAGAAACCCCATCTCTACTAAAAATACAAAATTAGCCAGGCATGGTGGCACATGTCTGTAATCTCAGCTACTCAGGAGGCTGAGGCAGGAAAATTGCTTGACCCTGGGAGGTGGAGGTTGCAATGAACTGAGATTGTGCCATTGCACTCCAGCCTGGGCAACAAGAGTGAAACTCCATCTCAGGAAAAAAAAAAAAAAAGATGCTGAGAACAATTAGTGAGGGCAAACTCAGCAAAAAAAAATGGCAGGAATATGGAGCCCAAGCTGATAACTATATGAGGGCAGTGCTGGAGCACAAAGGGTTTATAAAAATCTAGTGCCATGAAGAGTGTGGACTAGAGAGGAGGGGAGGGAAGGCATGAGGTGGCGGGTGGGGGTGTCTGTTTAGACTGGCACGGCGAGAACAGAGACAGAGACTGAGAGACAAGATGGGAGGTCTAGGGAGGGAGAGGGGACTGGGGACCTCCTAACTTCAGTCTGAGAGTTTGAAATCTGGTTGTACATCAATTGTAAACTGAGGCTGGGCACAGTGGCTCACACCTGTAATCCCAGCACTTTGGGAGGCAGAGGTGGGCAGATCACTTGAGGTCAGGAGTTGAAGACCAGCCTGGCCACCATGGTGAAACTCCATCTCTACTAAAAATATGAAAAATTAGTCAGGCGTGGTGGCAGGTGCCTGTATTCCCAGCTACTCGGGAGGCTGAGGCAGGAGAATCGCTTGAACTTGGGAGGTGGATGTTGCAGTGAGCCGAGATCCCACCATTGCACTCCAGCCTGAGCAACAAAATCAAAACTCTGTCTCAAAAAAAAAAAAATTATAAAGTGAGATCTACTCTGAAATAAGAGGCACCTTGTAGAGAACAGCATTTCTAGTCTTGTAGCTGAATTGATGATAGGTGAGGAGAGGTGGTTGTGGGATGTTGTGTTTAGGCCAGGGGTTGTGCTTCAAAATACCTGGGGAACGTGTTACAAATACAGATTCCAGGACCTCAGGCTAACAGCTCAAAACCTCTGGGGAATTAATATATTTATCACAAGATTGGCATCTGAATGGTGTTTGAGAGCAATGGATCTAGACTCTAGTCATGGCTGCAAAGATGTAAAGAAGAGTTACATAAAACACTAAGGATGGGAAGGATGGGGGCTGGGGGACTGACGTGGGCAAATGTGCCAAGAACACATGCTGGGAAAACAGGGGAAACGGAGGGGAAAAGGGAAAGAAGCGGTACCTGGAGGGGACCAGGGCGGGAACCAACAGATTCCATCTCAAGACAGACCATGTCTGAGCGACAAGGCTATCTGTAGCCAATAAGGAACCTTTGCGAAAATTAGAAACAGGTGCCCCACCTGCTCTGTCTGACCCAGCTCTGAGAGTGCCCAGCCTGGCTAGTGAGTGGAGCACAGGCTAGATTTCAGCCCCCCACTCAAATAACTGGGAGTATTTGTGTAGCATGCAACCCGCACAGCTGTATGCGGAGGCCTTCACTTGGTCCCTTGGAGCTGTCTCCTGCAGAGGAAGAGCAGGAATAGGGATAGATGGGGCTCACCTGCAGGAGGGATTTTAGCAGCATAATCTGGGTCAGTCGGTTCCTGTTCTCCCTGTAGACCAGACACAAATACTCAACAGGACGGTAATGGGGCGGAGATCCCACACTTGATAGCTTAGTTCTACCCCTGCTTTGTTTCTTCATGAGGCTTATCATCTTGGGTTACCCAGGACAGTGACTTCTGGACCCAGGAAGCAGACCGAGGGGTGATGGGCTCCCCCCATGGTGGGAGGTGGTTATTGGTGGAGCAGCCTGAGAAATTGTTGTAGGATCCACGAGCCCCACTAAAGGCTGCTGAGGGATTTGGGGGTAAAAACAGAGCGGAAGGCAGAGCCAAGAAAGTTAAGAGAGATAAAGGAGGGGGTCAGAAAATGCCACTGGGAGAGGAGGACTCCGGGCTGGGGGAGATTGGTGGCTCACCCTGTCCTGCCCGTGTCCACCGCCTGGTGCAGGGACGGCAGCGGGACCTTGCTCATGATGAAGAGGATCACCTCGGATCGCTGGTAGGTGGGCAGCGTGCTGGCAAAGGAGCCTGCGGGAGGTGGGGAAGAGGGCGTCCAGTAAGGCTCAAGCTCCAGGGCCCCTCCTGGTTCAGCCTTTCAGTTGCACAAACCCCTACAGAGAGCGAGGGCTGCTGCTCTCTGGAGTCAATCCAGGCCCAGAGAAAGGAACCCAGGATGGCCCGGGTGTGATTCGGCCTCTCCGGGAAGGGGAGGCATCAGGTGCCTCTGGAGGTCTCTTCCAGGCTCCGTTTTTTCTCTTGTTCCTGAGGCTGTGGTTAAGGTCTTGGCTCCTTGGCTAGTGGGTGGGGATGATGAATGCTGGGCCGTGGGACCAGGGCGGGAGAGCCTAGTTCTCATTGGGCGCTTGTTTCACCGGCTGCCCTAGGGTAAATTCTCCTCCCACGAACAGCGGCTTCTGCATTCCTGCCCTGCCTACGTCTCCAGGCTGAGGAAAGCTCACAAGGCCAGGGCAGGCAGGCTGTGAAAGCGGCTTTATCATCTCCGCTCCCAGGAGCACACACATTTTCTCCCTGGCCTGCCCCCTTCCTCATCCTTTTCCCTTAGTCCCCACCTCTCCCTCCTGGAGGCCCAAACCTGGAAGCACTAGGCAGGTCTGATGGAGACTGGGGCTAAGGAAGGTCTGAGACTTCAGACCTGGAAAACCATCCGACTGTTTTGTGCTGTCGCTCGGGCCCTGCCCAGCCAGCGCACCAAGGACCGACTTCACTTTCTCCGATGTCGGCGAATAGCATGTGGGTGCTGGAAAATCCTACAGCACGCGGATGGGTGCCCTTTGCCCCAGTGCGGCGCCTCCCTCTCCAGCCCCCATCCCCCGGCCGCCCCCGGGGACTCGCCCCTTTCGAGGGTCGCTCTGGCCTCCCCTTGGCCCCGCCCAGACCCTGGCCCCGCCCCAAGCCTCGGTCCCTCCCCGCCCCTGGCCCGCCCCGCGCCGCACCGACGGTCTTGATGACGGCCTCCTGGAACATGCGCTCTTCGTGCTCCTTGATGATCTTGGTGCCGAGGCTGACGGCCCCGTCGTAGCTTCCGGTCAGTGCGTAGTCGATGCTGAGCCGCAGCTGCCTCAGCAGCGTGTTGAACATCTCCAGCACCGTGGGCCCTGAGCGCGGCAGAGGGGGACACCCGAGATCCAGGGCTGGCACCCTCCTCCTCCCTGCACGGCGCGCAGGCAGGGCAGGCCCAGGTCCGCTTCCAGCCTGGGCTTCCTCTGCGCCACCAACTTCCCAGCGGACTTCTCCCGAGGAAAACGGCCTTCAACCCCTCCCTGTTGCCCCTTGCCTCTCTCTGGAAGAGGCGGCAGCCTCCACGGGGTCCCCGGCCCTCAGGCCCTCGCTATGCCCCTTACCCACAGAGCCAGTGGCTGCGATGACCGCGGCTTCGGACAGGACCTCCACGATGCCCGCGCGCACCGTCGCGGCGCTGCGGCTGTTGGCGTCCAGGTGGCCCAGGAGCTGCTGGATAACCAGGTGGGAGTGCTGCGGCTGCGGGAGGAAGACGAGCTGGGCCTGGACAGCAAGCCCACGGGGCCCCTGGGCCACGCAGCCCTCTCCTGGCACCCAAAGGTTGGGGTCAACGAAAGGGACGTCTCAAGGCCCCAGACACTGCAAGTGGCACTGACACCTCATGCCCTTCCTGGATCCTTCCCTCCTCCCTCCAACAAAGAGACAAATCCAGGCCAGAGTGGTGGCCCACGCCTGTAGTCCCAGAACTTCGGGAGGCAAAGGCTGGCAGATCATAAGGTCAGGAGTTCAAGACCATCCTGACCAACATAGTGAAACTCCATCTCTACTAAAAGTACAAAAATTAGCCAGGTGTGGTGACGCACGCCTGTGGTCCCAGCTACTTGGGAGGCTGAGGCAGGAGAATCACTTGACTCTGGGATGTGGAGGTTGCAGTGAGCCAAGATCATGCCACTGCCCTCTAGCTTGGGCAACAGAGTAAGACTTTGTTTCCAAAAAAAAAAAAAAAGAGTCGAATCCCAGTGGAGGCCTTGGCTGACAGTTTTCCAGGGCCCTTTTCCTTCAAAATGGGTCAAAAGACCATTTGAAAATAGTGTCTTCCTTTCATTTCCAGGCCTCAGGTCTTATCAGCAAGGGTGGCAGAGGCCACATGGCTTACTCCAGTGCTGCTCAAAGTGTGGCCGCTGGGCTGGTGCCCATTCAAGATGGGTCTGATACTGGTTTACACGGAGGTAAGGACGAGACAGTCAGTGCTTACTAAACAACTTGTCAGTGCTGTAGCAGCCAAGGGTGTGATCCGTAGGCTTGCATTTTGCATGAGTTTTTCATTTAGTTTTTCTAAGAATTAATTTGTTTTAATTGCATTTTATAAAAGAATTGGTCTGTGATGTACAGGAAATAAAACCGGCTGGCCCTTCACAGCTAGCTTCAGCAGCACTGGATTAGGCAGCCGGTGGCTTCGGAGGAGTCACAGGGGACTTCTGGCTTTCTACTTTAGCACTGGCCTGGTTCCCAGTGGGGCCCTTGTCCCGGGATCTGGCTGGCCTGGGGCGCCACCATACCTGAATTGAGTACATGATGATTTTAAAGCAACGGATGGCGAACACCTTGGGCTCCCAAAGAGAATGGTTATCCAGATGGCTGTGAGGGAGAGAACATGGGGGAACAACCATGAAACTCCCGGTGACGTTAGGGAGAAGAGATTAGCTTGGAGGGAGAGGGACGCCTCCTCAGAGCCCCTCGCACAGTTCACAGGTGAGGAAGTGAAGCCTGAAGGGCCTTGGGGCAGTCCCAGCCCAGCGCTGGAGAGAGGCCAAGGACAGCGCTCTGCAGCTGTGGATGTGTGCAGTGAAGCTGGGCACCTTCGTTTAGCGTTGGGTGCCTTCCTACTGGCAGCCTTTGGCCACCCCGTGGCAGCTTCTGCTGTCACAATGCAGGGAACACAGGCACAGGGAAGGGACCAACTTGGCTGTGGTGCCACAACTGTAATATCCCCTTCCTGCCAGCCAGCCAGGAGATGCCAGGGACCTGACACACGTCCAGGCTGAAGGCTGGGCCAAGGCGGTGGGGTGCGGATACTCACATGAGAACAGGTTTGATGGCATTTTTGATGTTGCCAAAGGCAGCCCGGCCCAGCAGCTCCCGAAGGCACCTCTCAGCCAGCTCCGCGGGGCTCTCTTTCTCCTTCTCGGGTGCTTGGAGGGGTGAGGGAGACCGGCTGGGAAGACAGAGGCATGTGGGTAAAGGGTGGCATGCAGGCTGGGCTCTGTGCAGTCCTGGCTCTCCGTGCCTCATCCATGCAGGACAAGCAGGAGTCTGACATGGGTCATGCTAGGCAACAGGGGAGGTGTCACAGCTATCAGAGATTAAACTGGGGTAAAGAAGCCCCCCCACTGTGGAGAGTGAAGGAAGACTGGGGAAGAAGAGATAAAGTTCCTTTTCTGGAAATCCTTAAAGATTTCCAGATGTGCTCCTGTGGGAAGGATGCTCTGAGCCCCAGGGGCCAGGCGAGGCGTAGAACATGTGTGTCTTGATGCACCTAAGGCTTCAGAAGGAAAAGGAGATGGGAGATGAAGACAGGGAAGGGAGGCAAAAAACAAAAATGGAAGAAAGGAGAGGAAAGAGAGGGAGGGAAAAGGAAAGGCACAGTGGTTGGCTCAGGCAAGACTCAGTGATACCCAAGTCACAGGGAGTGAGCCCGTATCTGGACAGAAGAGCCCAGGGACTCCCAGCTCAGAGACCACAGCAGCTTGTCAGTGAGATGCTATTCTAGAAATAGCCACCAGAGGACACATGTACCCCCTTACCCCCACCCAGGTCTCTAGTAGCCTGGGCTCAACCGACCTAACCAGCCTAGTGTACGGATAGCCCAGGTGGGACAGCAACGTGGACCTCTCTCCCCATTCCTTTTCTCAGAGGGGGAAAATGAGGGGGCAGGGACAGGAATGAATCCCATGCTTAGGGGGACCAGGGTTAAAACCCAGAATCTGCTAGCTCTTGCTGAGTGGCTGCGGGCTGGTCAAGCATGCACGTTTGCAGGTCCTGAAATAGCATCAGGAAGCAACAGAGGAAGGAAGGTCCAGATGGAAAGTCCGCAGTGATCGGAGCCACAAAAGGCATCTTAAAGCCTTCTTGGCCCTGCGTTCAGGGAGACAAAGGCAACCAGACTCTTGGTTCTGTGTGTTATTTCTAACCGACTTACCCCCAGGGAGCCCAGCACCACCATGTCCTTCCTTTGGTAACACAGACATTAGGGGAACTGCGGGCTGGCACAAAGCCAGACCCATGGCTTCAGGGAGCCAGCTTTGGACTCACTGCAGAGCAAGCTCCAATGCCACGGTCCTGGCCTTGTAGCTGGGTTTCACTGACCAACCCAAACCACGTGTTTCCCAAGCAGCCCTTGGAGGGCTGACCATATCCACTGACCTACTCCCCTGCCCGCCCGCTTACCTCTCTGCCTCCTCTACGTGCTGCAGATTGAAAAGCAGTGATGGAACGATCTTGTCCATGTGCTGTGGGTCCCAGATATTGGCCTGCAGTTCATCATTCACTGTCTTCCTCACCACCCCTTGCAGGCCTTTGATGCCTGACATTCGAATTCTGTAAGGAAAAGGGTGAAATGGGACTTGGAAATCCTCAAGCCCTGAGAAGTCCAGCTTTGGTGGCTGAGAGAGCAGCACAGCTTGGGAGTTAGGGATACATTTGTCCATCAGAAGGCAGAATGGAGACCACCGGCTACTCTCATGGACCTCCTGGCTCTGGCAGACATGAACCCAGGAAGCCATGTCTTCTGACTCATCCTGGAGACTCCAGGCTGCCCTTGCCGTGGTACCACCCAGGCTCCAGCCCTAGGGTGCTCGGTGCTGCAGCTCCCCGTGTTTAGTACTCAGCTGGGGTTGTTCCAGCTTGGGCCCAAGATGTGAGAGCTTAATATGCTGCCAAGAACTGATGAGGCAGAATCCAAGGCTGTGAGCAACTTGTGGAGGCTGGGGGAGGCGGATCCGGAGGCAGAGGCACAGAGCAGCAGGCTCTTTGGGCACAGAAGGTTTCAGCCTGGGGCTAGGCTTAACCAGAGGAGAAACGGTAAAAGCACAGAGGGAGCTCGTTTTGTCCACCCCAGTCCCCACTCTGCTGACCCAGCATCAGCACAGCCCTGTGGGAGGGAGCCCTTGTCACTGGCCGTTTATTTTAGCCTGAAGTTTCTTTCTTTTTCTTTTTTTTATAAAATCCTTTTTTCTGGTTATAAAATAATACATGCTAATCATAGAAAAGTATAGAGAAGAGCAGATTCACCACTACCACCACCACTCAAAGATAATCGTTATTGTCATTTTGATGGCATTCCTTTCTTCTGTGCATAATATATTACAGAATTAAGAACCTAGTGCATATTTGATTTGTATTGGCTTTTTTCACATATATTCTATGCATTTTCCTATGTCATTAACTCTTCATAAACATGTTGAATGGTTGCCTGATACACTATCATAAGATCTTTTTAAGCTAGTGATTATTGGTCATTTAAGTTGTTTCCAAAAGTTTTGCTTCTTCCTTTTTTTTTTTAAGACAGAGTCTCACTCTGTCGCCCAGGATGCAGGCTGGAGTGCAATGGTGCAATCTCGGCTCGCTGCAACCTCTGCCTCTCGGGTTCAAGAGATTCTCCTGCTTCAGCCTCCTGAGTAGCTGGGATTACAGTAGCCCGCCACCATGCCCAGCTAATTTTTGTATTTTTAGTAGAGATGGGGTTTCACCATGTTGGTCAGGCTGGTCTTGATCTCCTGATCTCGTGATCTGCCCAAGTTGGCCTCTGAAAGTGTTGGGATTACAGGCATGAGCCCGGCCAAACATTTTTGCTTTTATAATAATGCTATGAGGGTCATCATTGTATAAAATACTTTACTGCATTTCAAGTCACTGTCATGAGTGGAATCACGGAGTCAAAATGTAAGAAATAAAAGGCAGCCAGGCACAGTGGCTCACACTTGTAACCCCAGCACTTTGGGAGGTCAAGGCCAGTGCATTGCTTGAGCTCTGGAGTTCGAGACCAGGCTGGGCAACATTGTGAAACCTTGTTTCTACAAAAAATTTTAAAAATCAGGCTGGGCATGGTGGTTCACGCTTGTAATCCCAGCACTTTGGGAGGCTGAGGCAAGTGGATCACCTGAAGTCAGGAGTTTGAGACCAGCCTGGCCAACATGGTGAAACTCCATCTGTACTAAAAGTACAAAACTTAGCTGGGCCTGGTGGCGGATGCCTGTAGTCCCAGCTACTCAGCAGGCTAAGGTGGAAGAATCGCTTGAACCCAGGAGTTGAAGGTTGCAGTGAGCTGAGATCGTGCCACTGCACTACTGCCTGGGCAACAGAGTGAGAACCTGCCTAAAAAAAAAAAAAAAAAAAAAAAAAATTAGTCAGGTGTGGTGGTGCACACCTGTAGTCCCAGCTAGTCAGGAGGCTGGGGCGGAAGGACTGAGTAAGCCTGGGAGGTGAAGGTTGCAGTGAGCTGAGATCCTGCCGTTGCACTCCAGCCTGGATGAAAGAGTGAGACTCTGTTTCAAAAAAAGAAATGAAAAGCTCCCAAATTGCCAAAATAACTGCCCCCAACCCCCAGCCCATGTGCAAGGCACAGGAGAATGCCACTCTGACAGTGCCTGCGGCAGTATTGAGGATCTCATTTTACACATCTGTTCTAATTTTATGACTCCAAAATATCCTCACATTTTGTAGCTATTTGAATTCACATCCTTTTGTGATTATTGGAGATGAGCAGTTTTCTCAAGGTTGAGTTGCCAGTAGCATTTTAAATTTCAGTTTTAATTGGGGTTGTCAGGGTGCTACCCTGGGCCTTACCAAGGGGCCATGATTGGGGGTGTCAGGAGCCTATGAGCACCAGCATACCCTGGCCCAGGAATTTCTAGGGCCACAGGCGATGGGCAAGGATTCCCTGGAAGCACTTGGTCACGCTGACCTGACCCTGACCACGTTCAAGACCCTGAGCTGGCAGCTGTCTGAACTTGGGAATGAATGATCAGGAATACTGTCCCACTGACTTTTCTTGGTTCCAGGATAAAAGACACTCCCCACCAGGCATGGTGGCTCACGCCTGTAATCCCAGCACATTGGGAGGCTGAGGCAGGTGGATTACGGGGTCAGGAGTTCAAGACCAGGCTGACCAACATGGTGAAACCCCATCTTTATTAAAAATACAAAAATTAGCCAGGCTTGGTGGTGTGCGCCTGTAATCCCAGCTACTCAGTAGACTGAGGCTGGAGTATCACTTGAACCTGGGAGGCGGAGGTTGCAGTGAGCCGAGATCACACCACTGCACTCCAGCCTGAGCAACAGAGCAAGACTCTGCCTCAAAAAAAAAAAAAAAAAAAAAAAAAAAGGCACTCCCCAAGGCACAAGTGAAACACATCCTCAGTGTGTTGGACTCATTTGTCCCACTCAGGAGGGCTTGGTTGGCAGGAAACCAGGCCTGGTTGGCAGAAAAGTTCTACCCAGAGCTCCCTTATGCGTGCATATGAATTAATCTTTCTTCTTTCCCCAACTACCTTGCACTCCTTCAGTCTCCCCAGAATCCTTTCCATAAATGCACATGATTCATTCTGTGGCACCCAGAGCTCACCATGCCTTTCAAAAGTTCAGAAAGATCAGGCCTAGGGGAGGAGGAAGCTTCTTACTGCTCCTATTTATTTATTTATTTATTGAGGCAGAGTCTCACTGTCACCCAGGCTGGAGTGCGGTGGCACAATCTTGGCTCACTGCAACTTCCATCTTCTGGGCTCAAGTGATTCTTGTGCCTCAACCACCTGAGTATCTGGGACTACATTTGCACACCACCACACCTGGAAAATTTTTTGTATTTTTAATGAAGACAGGGTTTCACCATGTTGACCAGCCTGGTCTCGAACTCCTGACCTCAAGTGATCTGCCTGCCTCAACCTCCCAAAGTGCTGGGATTACAGGCATGAGCCACTGTGCCTGGCCCTTACTGCTCCTCTTAGTGGGCACAGTGGAGATCTACCCATGACCAAAGGTCCCATGAAGTCTCTGAATCCAAGGGAAGATCAGATAATACTGATGCACTGGCCCTGAGGAATCACACCACCCTCACACACACTCACACATACCACACACATACACTACACTCATACACACCACACACACACATACACTACACTCATTCACACGACACACATGCACTCATATATACCACAAACACCACACACACACACTCATATACACCACACACACTACACATTCATACACCACACACACATACAAACCACACTCCCCCACACACTCACCACACACACAACACACAACACACAACATACACACCACAAAACACACTCCACACATACACATACACACACCACACACCACACACCAAACACACACATCAGACACCACACACACACCACACAACACACAAACACAACACATAGCACACACACACAACATATACACCACACACACATACCACACCCCCCTACACACAGCATACACACCCCACACACACAGCACACACACACACCACATACCACACACATACCACACACACACACACACACACACACTTGCATGCACAGACCCACTGCTGGACCCAAGGGTGTTCTTGGAAAGGGCAGAAAATGGCATTCAGAAGCAGCCTCTGGGTTCCTAGAGCAAAATAATGCTGTGTGCATGGACAGCCTAGCACAGCTGCCACCAAGTCAGCTGAGTCTGAAAAGGCTGAGAATGAACAACAGGAGAGATCTCAGGGAAAAAGGGGTACTGGGGCGGGGACGGAAGAGACAGGCAAGAAGGGGATGAAGGAAGAAAACTGACACCAGACGATCCCTCCCTCTCCCTCTCTCACTTGCAGGCCTTCCTGTCTTATGGGATATGCTTTTATATGTACACACGCCAATTTATAAAAACACTTAGCTGACAGAAGTATACTTGGACATAGAAGCAAAACCCCTCAAGTAAAATCACAAAGAAATTGACCAGGTGCAATGGCTCACGTCTGTAAGCTCAGTATTTTGGGAAGCAGGGCAGGGGGATCACTTGAGCCCAGGAGTTTGAGGCCAGCCTGGGCAACATAATGAGACCCTGCCGCTAGAAAAAATAAAAGTAGCTGTGCATGACTGCACATGGCTGTATTCCCAGCTACTTAGGAGGCAGAGGTGGGAGGATGGGTGACAAGTGCCAGCCTGTGGGTATAATGGCATTGCTGGTGGCTGGGAGCCAACCTTCCTCCTGACGTTCAGGAAACTTCCAATGCTGCTGGAACACAGTGCTGACCACATCACAAACTATGGATGGTGTGTGTGTGTGTGTGTGTGTGTAGTGGCATGAGGAGTGTCCCATCCACTCCCCCAGCATCCTAGGACAGCTTGGCAGGGCCTGCATGGGCAACATGTGTTACAGACATATGTGGCCATGATCTGTACCTCCCCCAACACCTGCTTCTGAGCACGCCCCCATAGCTCCAGCCCCTCTGCCTCTTCATAGCCATTTTGCAATGGTGGTGACTTGGGAAGCCAATCCTGGAGAAGGTGAGGGGCTCCTTCCTCCCCTACTCTGGTCGTGCAGCTGCAGGGGGTCCACACCTGGCTTATGAGAGTCTCAGGGACTGGGGGAACCCAGACAACGCCACACTGGGCCCTGCCCAGGAGTCGGTCCACTGCCTTAGAAGCATATATTCATTTCAATTTCTTTCTTTTCTTTTTCTTTCTTTCTTTTTTTTTTTTTAAGAGGTGGAGACTCTTTCTTTTGCCCAGGCTGGAGTGCAGTGGTGCAATCATGGCCCACTGCAGCCTCAACCTCCCAGGCTCAAGTGATCCTTCCAACTCTGCCTCCTAAGTAGCTGGGAATACAGCCATGGTGCAGTCATGCCCAGCTACTTTTATTTTTTGTAGAGGCAGGGTCTCATTATGTTGCCCAGGCTGGCCTCAAACTCCTGGGCTCAAGTGATCCTCCTGCCCCAGCTTCCCAAAGTACTGAGCTTACAGACGTGAGCCATTGCACCTGGTCAATTTCTTTGTGATTTTACTTGAGGGGTTTTGCTTCTATATCCAAGTATACTTCTGTCAGCTAAGTGTTTTTATAAATTGGAGTGTGTGCATATAAAAGCATATCCCAAAAGGCAAGTTGCTTGTCTTAAAGTGTTCATTCATTCTGTTATTCACTCAACAAGAATTTATCAAGTGCTGCTGCTCTCCGGGCAATGTTAGTGCTTGGGATGCATCTGTGAGTAAAATGACACACCCCACTTCATAGAGCTTACATTCTAGTGGGAAGAGACAGGTGGTGAACAAGAAACACAGAAAGTAATTTATGAAACTGCTTAAAGGGGAAAGAAACCCCAGCAGAGTGAGGGAGTAGGGAGTGGGCATGTCGGGGTGTGCAGGGCGGCTTTACTGACAAGGGGACATTCGAGCAAAGGTTTGACAGAGGCGACGTAGTGAGCTGCGCAAATCCCTGGAGGAAGCATTCCAGGCACAAGCACAGACTGTGCAAAGGTCCTGGGGCAGTCTCTGTGGTGTGCTGGAAGGGAAAGAGTGAGCGGGAGGGCCAAGGAGATAGAGTGGAGAAGGCAGCTGGGATCAGCCAAGGGGTGGACTTTGGCTCTTTATTGGTAGGTATAGATTTTGATGGTTAATGGTGGGTGGGCGTTTTTGTGGAGTAGAAATGCATGTAATTCTGAACAAAGAGTATATGTGTGTGTGGGTGTGTGTGTACATGTGTGTGTTCTGTCACTGGCTCTCAAATTGGGCTCAAATGACTGTTATCTTATATTGAGCCCCTTTGTCCGGCCCAAGCAGTTCTTCCTTTAGAAGCCACATGTGGGGCCCGGCGTGGTGGCTCCCACCTGTAATCCCATCACTTCGGGAGGCCAAAGTGGGCAGATCACCTGAGGTCAGAAGTTCAAGACCAGCCTGGCTAACATGGTGACACCCTGTCTCTACTAAAAATATAAATTATTAGCTAGGCGTGGTGGTGCATGCCTGTAATCCCAGCTACTTAGGAGGCTGCATGAGAATCACTTGAATCCGGGAGGCAGAGGGTACAGTGAGCCAAGATCATGTCACTGCACTCCAGCCTGGGCAACAGAGTGAAACTCAATCTCAAAAAAAAAAAAAAGAAAAAAGAAAAGAAACCCCATGTAGGGAGCCAGACACTGCCCACCTGCCCAGCAACATCAGAGCAGACATAGAAACTAACGAAAGCAGACACACAATGGCAGGTTGGAAGTTATCCACAGGACCCACCAGTTGCTTCTGCTGTGGGCTGAACCAACCACCCTTGCCCTCCCCTACTCACTTAGTCTTGATTTCTAAGTCATCGTGGCTCGAGTGGCACATTTCACTGAATCGGGACACAAAGAAGTCATAGCTCCGGTGATAGGACGGGGTATCCTCCTCGATGTTGGCAAACTTCACAAACTATCAGGCAGGAAGGAGAGAAATACACAAGAGGTGACCCACCATGCTCCTCACTGCTGGGCATCCCCAGACTCCCTGCCACGGTCCACGGGAACCGCACATCCCAGAGACAGCTTGGCCGGCCTCGCAGAGCGTGCTGGGAATATCTGAGTTCCCAATCCCGCTCACCTCTCCCAGCTGCACAACAAGATTGGAAAACATGGCCCCTCTCAGGCCTCCCCTGCTGCAGGAGCAGAGGTGAAAGAGAAGGGAACACGAAGGGGCTCACGGAAGCACCCGCCCTCACCCCTCCATCCAGAGCTGCACAAACACACGGGGACTGAGAAGCTCTTAGCCAGCGACAAAGCAGCAGCACCACCCTCAACGAATTTGAGGACACAAGACCAAATCTGAAATTTGACTTAAAAATGTCATTACATTTTATTGTTAAAAATTGGAGTCTGGCCAGGTGCAGTGGCTAACTCCTCTAATCCCAGCACTTTGGGAGGCCAAGGCAGGTGGATCACTTGAGGTCAGGAGTTCGAGACCAGCCTGGCCAACATGGTGAAACCCTGTCTCTACTAAAAATACAAAATTAGCCAGGCGTGGTGGCTGGCACCTGCAATCCCAGCTACTTTGGGAATCTGAGGCAAGAGAATCGCTTGAACCCGGGAGGTAGAGGTTGTAGTGAGCCGAGATGGTGCCACTGCACTCCTGTGTGGCCAATGGAGCGAGACTCCATCTCAAACAAAAATAAAAACAAACAAAAAACAAAAATTGGAGTCAATTTTTAAAGTTTGCCATTTCAGTTCAGTAGGTCTTGATCAGCATCCTGGGCAGCTAGATTCCTTCTGTACCACAGTGCTGCACATTTGCAGTTGTAAATATGGACTTAATTTCAACTGAGTCCTACAGAGAAGCAAGAATCATATGGAATTAAATTACTAAATATTTAATATGATTCTTACAAGATTTTGTTTTGTTTTGTTTTTTGTTTTTTTGAGACAAAGTCTCACTCTGTCGCCCAGGCTGCTGTGCAATGGCACAATCTCAGCTCACTGCAACTTCCTCCTTTCGGGTTCAAGAGATTCTCCCAACTCAGCCTCCAGAGTAGCTGGGATTACAGGCCATCATGCCTAGCTATTTCTTTTTCTTTCTTTCTTTCTTTTTTTTTTTTTGTAGAGACGGAGTTTCACCATATTGGTCAGGCTGGTCTTGAACTCCTGACCTCAGGTGATCCACCCACCTTGGCCTCCCAAAGTGTTGGGCTTACAGGCAAGAGCTACCATGTCTGGCCTTTATAGGTAATTTTTAAAATGTTATTAATCTCGTACCCCCAAACAACTCTAAAAAGGTTAGATCCACTATAAGATATATTCTCCATTATTCTGCCCTGTATTACTATTTAATTTATATAAGCATGTGTTGGTTCAAAAAGGATATGGCATTCCTCCTAAAAATATCTAGTTAGTAGACTCTTATGATATTCAGTATTGTCAATTTGTGTCTATATTTAATGACTTAAAAGTTGTTAATAACTTTTTCTGGATGAAAACTAGCAGCTTCCACGAACATTATTAATGATTGTAGTGTTTTGTTCTTACAGTAATAAATACAACAGCTATTTTCTGTTGACTGAGAGACTCCCAACCTACAAAGCAAATAAGGAGACCTTTCCTTCCAAACTACATCTAAAATGCATTCCCATATTTAGGAGTGAATATTCTGATATTAGCAATAAATCCAAGTGACATTGCTGGCATGAGCGATGTGGTGATGCAGAAGAAACACGGTGGTAGGGGCCGGGCGCGGTGGCTCACGCCTGTAATCCCAGCACTTTGGGAAGTCGAGGCAGGCGGATCACGAGGCTAAGAGATCGAAACCATCTTTGTCAACATGGGGAAACCCCATCTCTACTAAAAATAGAAAAATTAGCTGGGCGTGGTGGCATGCATCTGTAATCCCAGCTACTAGGGAGGCTGAGGCAGGAGAATCCTTTGAACCCAGGAGGTGGAGGTTGCAAGGAGCCGAGATCACACCATTGCACTCCAGCCTGGCGGTAGAGTGAGACTCTGTCTCAAAAAAAAAAAAAGAGGCACGGTAGTAATCCACGTGATCACAAGATCATCGATTACAAACAAGTACAGGAGAGTTCTAGAAAGAAGACTGAGTCGGGTCTTTGGCTGCCTGGCCTTCATAAGTCCCCCAGGCCGGAACACAGAGTTGAGGTGCTAAAGCCAGGTCTGGCTGAAGTTGAAGTTGGGTGCTTCACTGCTCTTAACCCTGAGAGTATATTCCCTGGACGCACTCCTCACAGCCAAAGGCTGGCCCGGTCGAGGTGTCTGTCCACTCAAAGAAGACACACAGCTCTAGCAGGTTCTAAGATCTAGCTCTTAACTGGAGGTGTGGACTTTGGATGAGACATCTAACTTCTTTTGATGTTTTTGTTTTCCCATGTGCAAAATAAGCTGCCCGGTTGTCACTAAGGTTCTTTTATTTTAAAGTTTTAAAAATTTATACTATGTCTACTTCGAATATGATGAGGCAAATTAAAATAAGACTCCCAGTGTATGTGTAAGAGTGTATGCATTTTAGAATAAAAGAAAAAATGAAAAAAGGCCAATAATAGAGAGAAACAAACACACCCTTTGTCCCCAGCATGTAGTGACTGTGTATACATCAGGAGAATGAATGGCCAAACTTTATGTTCACTGGTTTGGGAGTTTGTGGGCCAATGGTTATGAATATTTTAGAAGTTTTTTTTTTTTTTTTTTTTTGAGTCAGTGTCTCTCTCTGTCATCCAGGTTGGAGCACAGTGGTGTGATCTTGGCTCCCTACAACCTCTGCCTCCTGGGTTCAAGTGATTCTCCCACCTCAGCCTCCCTAGTAGCTGGGACTACAGCTACGATGCCTGGCTAATTTTGTATTTGTAGTAGAGATGGGGTTTTGCCATGTTGGCCAGGCTGGTCTTGAACCTGACCTCAAGCGATCCACCTGCCTCAGCCTCCCAAAGTGCTGGGATTACAGGCGGGAGCCACTGCACCTGGCCTAGAAGCTTACATAATGGCAGGTCCTACCCTAAGACTTGTACATACATGATCGATTTTATTTTTTAAAATGATTCTAAGTTAGAGAGATTTTTATTGTCATTTTATAGACAAAGAGACTGACATCCACACAGTCAAGCAACTTGCCCAAGGCCCTGTAGGAGGGTGACGGTCCCCTGCATCCTGCCGCTTGTCTCCAGGACTTCCTCCCTGAAAACCTTGGATGTTCGTTTTTTGTTTTGTTTTGTTTTTCAGCTTTATTGAGATATAATAGACAAATAGAAATTGTATATATTTATATATTTAAGGTTTACAACTTGATGTTTTACTTACGTATTCATTCATTTATAGAGACAAAGTCTCACTCTGTTGCCCAGGCTGGAGTGGAGTAAGGCAATCATGGCTCACTGCAGCCTGGAACTCCTGAGCTCAAGTGATTCTCCTGCCTCCTGAGTAGCTAGGACTACAGGTGTGCACCACCATGCCTGGATGGATATATATATATATACACACACATACATATATATGTGTATATATATACATATATATGTGTGTATATATGTATATATATACACATATATATATATTTGTAGAGGCAGGGTTTCATTATGTTGCCAAGGCTGGTCAAACTCCTGGGCTCAAGCAATCTCCCCACGTAGGCCTCCAACTTGAAGTTTTTGACATACATTGTGAAATAGTCACCACCACAGTTAAGCCAGTTAACATATCACCTCACACAGTTGCCATTTTCTTTCCCCTTCCCTCCTTCCTTTCTGTGGTAAGAACACTTACGATAGCTAAGATGTGGAAACAACGTAAATGTCTGACAAAGAAATGGGTATGGAAAATGTGGTACTTGTGTATAGTATCTACACACACACACACACACACACACACACACACACACACAGAGTGGAATATTATTCAGCCTTAAAGAAGGGATAGCAACAACATGAATGAACCTGGAAGACATTATACCAGGTAAAATAAATCAGACACAGAAAGACAGACGCTGCCTGATCTCACTAATATGTGGAATCTAAAAAGTCAAGCTCAGCTGGGCGCAGTGACTCACGCCTGTAATCCCAACACTTTGGAAGGCTGAGGTGAGTGAATCACTTGAGGTCAGGAGTTCGAGACCATCCTGGCCAACATGCTGAAACCCTGTCTTTACTAAAAATACAAAAAATTTGCTGGGTGTGGTGGCACACACCTGTAATCCCATCTACTCGTGAGGCTGAGGCAGAATTGCTGAACCCAAGAGGCAGAGGTTGTAGTGAGCCAAGATTTCACCACTGCACTCCAGCCTGGGTGACAGAGTGAAACTCCATCTCAAAATAAAATAAAATATAATACTCAAGCTCATAGAAGCAGAGTAGAAGGCTGGTTGCCAGGAGCTGGGGGGAGTGGCACTGGGGAGATATTGGTCAAAGGGTACAAACGTTCTCCAGTTTTTATTCCTGCCTTCTGCTTCCTCTAGCCTCAGACTAGATGACATTGCTAGGGAAGAACAAGAGGAGGAAGAGAAAGTGGCCAAGAAGCACCTTAATACTGTTTTATTAAGAGGGTCGGGGACACATAGGAGAGGCTGGAGGTGGGAGGACTCTGCTTTTCAAACACTACCAGACAGCAGAGTCACAGGGCACTGCTGAGCACACTGATTTCTGCCCCCCAGCTCTCCCAGGCATACTGAGTCTGTCCTGGAAGAAGCCTGGGAATCTCAGTGGGCCTGTCTGAGACCCACACCTGGGAGCCGCAGGCAGGGGCTGACTGGCAGTCCAGCCTTCTCCTCTCCCCTCCCTCACCCATGCCCCTTGGAACCCATTCCTGATCTTGATGGAACTGGAACACCAAGACCCCTCCATGTTCAACTTTGAGTGTCCTCTTCCTCAGCGAGCTGTGGCACCACAGGACTGACGGGCAGTCAGGCCACGTGGCCAGCGCGGCTGCTCACGGCCAGTGTCTGTCCTCATT